ATGGATATACGGTACATAATCAAGGTATTACACTTTACACTATTTGTTTTCTTTACTCGTTTATATTCTATTTAAAATCCTCTACAAACCTATTGTAAAAAAAATCTTTAAGAAGCAGTAATTTTCATGACGTTCTCCGAGCTATGAGACTGACCAGTGGAAAGTTAAAATAAAATGTTGCAAATTAGTGTTCTACACAATCCGATATCAATCCTAAGTTACCTCTTATTAATATATTCGTTGGGGAGGGAAGGGAGAGCTAAACCCATAGGGAAATGGGTTTGATCCAAGGGGAGAACAGGTCCTATTCCTAAGATCAAGAGTTCCTCACCAGCATCAAGGAACCTCTCATGATGCTTTCTCAATATGACATACTTGCATAAAGGGTTTGAAACCTTTCAAATTACAAATCAACAGCAAAATTTCAGTTTTCCAAAAGTTCTCCAGTAAAACCGGTAAATTGGTACTTACGTGCTCCAATGTTAATCCAAAAATGTAAACGATTTAGATATACCACCATCTAGGGTTTGAACCCGATCAAAAGATGCACTTGCTACTTAACGCATGGATTATTATTATAATCAAGAGGGAAGCGCTAAGCCCGTAGGATTATACAGTGCCTGAGGGAGGGGGATGTGGAAGATATTCAGGCTTAATTCAGGGAACTGGAGCACAGATCCAATTCCCTAAATCAAGAACCCCTCACCAACATCAAGGAACCTTCGTTGAGGGGTTAACGCATGGAAACCAGTTTAATAAAATTGACAAATTACACTGTACACAAACCAAAATCAATGGGAACCTTTCTTTTGGTTATACCCACCATCACTGAAAGTTTGAAGCCAATTAGAAGAGGCATTCTCCACTTATTGGTTTCAATCCAACAATTCCAAGTTTATGAATACATGTGCAGCACCTGGCCATCTTATTGAGACGTTCCCAATCCGATAGTCATAAAACTTTCATTGGGGAGCCAGGGTTGTGGAAGAAGTTTAACAGTGAAGCATTATTGGCACTGGTCGCATGTGGATGGGGCAAACTAGTGTAAGTAGGTGTGGTTTGAAGTGCAAAGAAGACCAGCTCTTCTTATTACCATAATCGTTCTTAACTGTTTAAGCGCCGATGACAGAGCCTGATACTTTGAAACACTTGGATGATAGATGGGGATACCATGATATTAAATGATGTTTGCTGTGGCTTTTGGTAACCATTCCTGTGACAAACTCTTTCCTTCCTACCTTCCACCCCAGATTTATGTACTCTCTTCATCAGCCTATCCCTCTCCAACCTCTCTACATGCCCAAACGAACTTGGCCCTTTGAATTATACTCCCCATCGTCTTTTAATTTCTGCACTCCAAATTCTCCGTATGGTATTCAAGTCACACGATGTTCTCAAACATGACATCTCTGCTTCCCTAACCTCCTTTTTGATGCAGCATTCAAAACTTATGCCTCACACCCATATAAAAGTGTTGTACTACTGTTCTCTGGTAGATTCCCTTTTTTGCTTCCATAGATAAACTTTCTTTCCGAGCAATGTGCCAAGTGATGCTGGTATTTGTGTGGTCACTTGTATTGGTACATTTTTATGTATCACAGCTTCCTCAGCATTACCTATGTTATTGAGTTTTGTCTTTATTTATACCCTTCACTGGGGAGAAGGGGAGGGGGATACAGCATAGCAAAGAAAGCAAGTGCCAGACTGAAGCTCTTCTTCAGACAAGCAGTGTCTACCTATCGAGGCTTGCAGGATCCTATGTCTAGCCCTTATACAATGTCATATGGACTATGCTTACTCTTCATGGTAGTCTGCCTTGACAAAAACTGAAAGATATGACTACAAATCACCCAGAACAAAATGGTAAGATTCATCCTGGACCTGGGTCCAAGAGAGCATGTAGGCCGAAATCGGGGGAAGAAAAAAAATTTATTTGGGACCTATTTTTTATCAAAATTTTTGGGGTTTTAAATGAAAAAATTATTTAAATGGAAAATAATGAACAAAACAGTATGAACTTTCTTTTTTAACCCACCACAAAAAAGGGTTTGTAACCATTGGACCCATCATTATTTTTAAATTCCAAATATGTTTGGGGGATACTGATGAATTGTCCAAATCTTTTTGGGAATTTTAAATCCATTTACCAAACATGTACAAAGAATTTAACAAAATTATTATTATTTAATGGGGACCCACAAGGAGGGTGGGAAAAAGAAAAACTTCACCTCATTCATTCCTACTGTCTTGCCGAAGGGCAACTACAGTTTTAACGGGAATTAATAACCCCTTTTAGTTTTCGGGCTTTGGACTTCCCTCTCAACTCATCCCCTCCTTCCCACCCCAATTAATGTTCTTTGCTCACCTCCCAACCCACTCAGAAAAAACCCTTGCTCCTTAACTCCTAAAAAACCCCTCCCCATGCCTTAATTTCTCAACCCTCCCAAATTTTTCCTTTACCCCCCCCAAACCCCTTTTCCAAAACCGACCCACCCCGCTTCCCCTTAACTCCATTGATACACTTTAAAATTTGTTCCCCCCACTTTAATGTGAACCCCCTTTCCTTTACCCCTTTTTTAAACTTTTGGAAAACCCTTCTTTCCCCTAATTCCAAATACGATTTTGCATTTATTAAACATTTTTAGAACAGCTTCTCCATTCCTAGTTTTGTTTAAATATACCCACCTTTAAAATGGGGGGGTTTGGTAAAAAAAATCCAACTAAACCCTTCCCCAGGACAAGCTGTCTCCACAGACCCTAAGTGACCACTACTTTTTTTTCCCTATCAATTCTATGTTCCCCTTCATCTTCAAGACTGCTGCCTTCCACCCCCAATATTGAAACGTTCCCCTCCTCCATACCTCTCCTCCAACTGAATTAAATTTTTATCCCCTAATTTTTAGTTATTCTACCTTACTTTTCCTGTATTCCCCTTTAATTTTTTTCTTTTGCACACCCTCCCCAAATTCATCCCCCAATCTCTGCAACTTCTCTTCAGAATCTCCCGGCACAGTGTCTCAGCAAAGAGCAGTGGAAAACTCCCCTTTGTGTGTGATTCTTTCTTTTAACTCCACGCCTCTTTGCCAAGACCCTCGCATTATTTTCTTACAACCCATCTATAAATATATTAAACAACCAGGGTGAATCCACATCCTGTTAAGGCCTATTTTTACGGGGAAAAAAATTTTCCCTTTTTCCCTACATACTTAATTGGCCCTCACTATCCTCGTAAAAATCTTCACGTTTTCAGTAACACCTCCTACCCCATACACTTGCAACATCTGCACATTCCCCCCTATCCACCTGCATAGCCTTTTCCAATCCAAAATCCCAAAGACCTCTTTAGCCTTATCTAAAAATGTTCACTTATATGTTTCACTGAAAACCCCTGGTCCACACACCCCCTCCTTTAAACCCCCTTGTTCATTGCTATCTATTCTTGTCTTACTTTTAATTTTCTTTAATTATAACTCTACCATACACCTACCAGGTACACTCAACAGACTTATCCCCATAATTTTTTGCACTCTCTTTTACCCCCTTTCCCTTTTTATAAAAAAGGAATATCATGTCTCTCCCAATCCCTGGGCCCCTTACCCTTTTCCATACATTTTTTAAAAAATTTTGCCCCCAACCACCCCCAAAAACTATATCCCCCCCGCTTTTAAAATTTTTATCTTTATCCCCTCAATCCCGGGTGCCTTACCCCCTTTTTATTTTACCTACTGCCCCCGAAATTCCCCCCCCCTCACAAAGGCTCTTCCTCACTCCTACAGATTTTTTTTCCCCCTTGCCCTATACACGAAATCACAGCTTCCCTATCTTCACAACATTTTAAAAATTCCTCAAATATTCCCTCCACTTCCCCAAAACCTTAACTCCCATTTAATAACTTCCCCCTCCCATTTTTAATGCAAATCCATTTGTTCTCTAGGCTTTTTTAATTGTTAATTCCCCTCCAAAACTTTTTTTATTTTCAACAAATTTGGTTTATAACATCTTTACCATCTCTCATTTGCTCTCTTTTTACTGCTTCACCACTCTCTTAACTTCTCTCTTTTTCTCCATTTCTCTTTCCCCCCTTGCATACTTTCTTTTTTTTAAAAACTTCTATATGTTAATTTTTTTTCCCCTTTTACTTCTTTCATCTCATTCCCCCAATCGCTCCTCTTCCCCCCTGCACCCATTTCCCGTAACCACAAAATTTGCTGAACACTCTAACACTAATTTTAAAAACCCACCCTACCTTTGACCCCATTGCCTATGCTTCATTTGGGCCCATCTATCCTCCAATAGCTGTTTTTACTTTCCCTAACTGCCCCCCTTTTGTTTATAACCTTCACCTCTTTTCCCTGAGTTCTTTCTCCCGTAAACCCATCTACCCTTTTATCTCGTGTAGCTACAACAGAAAGTGTTGATTATCTGTGGGCCCCCTATAAAAACATTACTCCCGAAGTCTACTCAAAGTCTTTTATCTACCAAAAATAATCCAACAAAACTCTGTCATTTTGCCCCACATATATCGTGTTACTTATTTTTCCCCTTTTTTTAAAATAGTTTACCTAACTAAACCCCCTTTTATCAAAGTTCAATCAAAGGGCAGCTCAAAAAGAAAAACAAAAGTTTCTCTTTTTAACTTTAGTAATGTATACAGGAGAAGGGGTTACTAGCCCCTTGCTCCTAATGCAAATATATTTGGTTATTTAAAAACATTTACATAAATAATTTATTATTCCCAGTAACAAAACTGACTCAAAATTCTTTTAATAAATTAATCTAAATTATACAGTATAATATTTATGTACAAGAAATTGCTTTTATCTCCAAGGATAAAAAGTGAGCACTTTCTACATTATACCTGTAGCAAGAAAACAATTTAAAATTGTAAATATATTGTAAAAATAAAAATAGGTTAAAACAACTAAAAAAAATTTCTACACAAAAGTTGTAACAAAAGAAAGATGGATCACTAACTCTGAAGGGAGAGTAAAAAGACAAGGTAAAAGAAATAATATATTTTATGGAAAAACAAATTTAGCTCTATTTTTACTAGCATTTTGAAATTTAATTCATAAATAATACTGAAGCTCTTAAAAAATGAAATAAAATTAAAATTCAATTTGCAAAAGTACCCTGAAAACTCATAGTTTTTCTTTAACATCTTTTATCTCATATATTTTCCTAGATAATTTTATTATTCACTTAACTGTTTATTTTTTTCCTCATGTGACATTAACACTTTTACAGGAGCCAGACAAAATATGAACACCTGCTGATTGAAGTACTGAACTGTGGAACGACTGAATGATCAATTTGTATGCATTACACGTGTTAAATGTGTTATCTTCCAAGATGATAATGTGCCAATTCACACTACTAGAGTCGCTCAAAATTGTCATGAAGAGCATGAAAGCGAAGTCCAACATTTGGATCGGCCTCCACAACTGCCGGATCTAAATATTATCAAGCATTTGTGAGGTCAATTGAAACAGCAAGTCAGGAGCCAATTTCCTCCACCTTCGTCTTCGGAAGAGTTAGAGCAGGTTTTGCTTGAGGAACAGCTCAAAATTCCCCTGGATACTGTTCAAATGCCATATGAATCAATTCCTCTATGAACTGGTGCTGTTTTAGCTGCAAATGGAGGACCAACTCCACACTGAAAATAAAATATATTACATAACAGGGTGTTCATACTGTTTTGTCCAACCCCTGTATCTTCTGGACCTGCAATACGTGCAGCTAACACTAAGAAGTTGACTAACTTTTAATGGAAAATGGTGCCAAATTTATCTTCTCCATAATTCATGATAATTTGCTGTGTGTTTTATTATAGTCTTCTAAATTTTCTAAAAGTGCCATTTTCTAATTTAAAAAAGGAAAGACAGAGAGTCTGCCATCCACTTTTCAAGGTCTTTTAATTTCTAAACAGATGAGTAATATTCACAAAATCACCACTACACAGTCTATAATATAATCTAAAAATACTTAAATATACTTGTTGATTGACTTGATTCATCCATACTACAGAAGGTACGATCAAGTTTTAATTTTTTGGATATGGGTAAGCTATTAGGTTTCTTCGTCTTCGTGGATTCTTCTTTTTCCTGCACTTCCTCAGCAGACAGCTGCTGGAACACGAAATTACCTGCTTGCTTGGCTCCTCCTACAACACTACCCTTATCTTTGGTCAGCTCAGCAATACGTGCTAAGGTGTTCTTGTCCCGAGATAAGAAAGAGCCTCGCTGGGAAGAAAAAGAGAAATGTTAGCTTTGGTGAGCCATATTTTTATTATACAGATAAGTTTGATTATATATATGAAATAAATGTATCTTTATGAATGGAAAATATATGAACAAACTTATTGTACTGCATGCTTACATTACTCTAGACTGCTACCACAGAAAATGGGTTGTATATACAGTGGACCCCCGATTAACGATATTTTTTCATTCCAGAGGTATGTTCAGGTGCCAGTACTGACCGAATTTGTTCCCATAAGGAATATTGTGAAGTAGATTAGTCCATTTCAGACCCCCAAACATACACGTACAAACGCACTTACATAAATACACTTACATAATTGGTCGCAATGGGAGGTGATCGTTAAGCGGGGGTCCACTGTACTAAATTGCTTAGGAAAGAAAATAAAAGAAAAGGCTAAATGAAATGCTGTGTACCTGTTCTTACCTCAATACTATTTCTCTTATACTTAAAGAAAATATAAATGACCACATCAATATATCTCTGGTGTCTTGTTTTTCTCATTTCCTGAGCACTTAACCTTAAGAAGGCTGTTGCCCTAGCAAAAAAGCAACATGTAAAACTCCTAACCTTTACTATTACAGTACTTAATCTGTCACTTTCCCTTGAACAGTACTTTACTCCTGCATATTTTCCCAGAAACATAAGTAGGACAAGTTTTTCACTGTAGCAGCCTCTGACTTCACTCTGTTTTTACTACTCTCTTGGTTCTATCTATTAAAAAAAATAAAAAAATCAATCTGCTTACTTTTCCAGTTATTCCTTTTACATCCATTTTGTACACAATCACACCAAGGTCACACTTGTTGAATGCTTCAGCAAAAATCAGTGTACACTACATCAGCATTTAGCTTGTCTTCCAGAGCATCCGGGACTGCATCATAATGATTTAACAGTTGTGAAGACAGGAGCAACCTGCCTGACCCCATGCTGCCCAGGATTATGTAAACGTTGTTATTCTGTATGACTGGCAGTCTTGCTTCGTAGGGCCTGTTCAAAGATTCTGATAATGTGTGAAGTTATAGCTATTGGTCCATTTTGTTTTTTTTTGCAACTGCTTTACTGCCTCTTTTGTGAAGTGGGGCAATATCAGTGGTTTTCAATGACTGTGGGATAACACCTGTATCCAGGCTACTCCATAAAATACTAAAGGCCCAAGATAGTGGTTTCTTACAATTTTCAATGAATATGGAATTCCACAAGTCTGGGCCTGGTACAGAATGCATAAGCATGCTGTCGATGGCTTCTTCAGAGTCAACTAGGGGAGGGCTACGTTAGAAATTGTGGAGATATCGACAGTGTTTTGAGTCTTACTCATGAAATACTTGTTTGCGTCCTTGATCTGTAAATTGATGAGTAGTTCACTGAACAATGAGTCGTACTGTGATATCAGTACAGTGGTCTCTCAATAATCGTCCGGCCTGAAAGTCGTCCATTTCGGAAATAGTCCCGTTATTTCGTCTAAACATTGGCTCACAAATGGTCCGTTAACTCGCTAATCGCCCTTCGTCCAGGACGGGTACTCACGCTCTGAGCCGCCTGGGCCTGCCTTCCCAGCCAGTGTGCCATTGTTTACCAGTGAGCGACGGTCCCCTCACACGCTCCTACGAAATATTTCATAATATTCCATTGATTTTAGTGCTTGCAAGTGCTAAATAAGCTACCATGGCTCCAAAGAAAGCTTCTAGTGCCAGCCCTTTGGTAAAGAATGTGAGAAACACACATAATTTATGAAAAAGTTTGTAGAAAAATACAAAGGTGGTGGTGGTAAAGTGGAAGCAGTTGTGATAGTGGTTGATGGTGGTAGAAGGTAGTAGTGATGGTGGTAAGTTGTAATAGTGGTAGAAGGTCGTAGTGATGATGGTAGAGAGTTCCTTCTTTAGTGATTCAGCAATTCTACCAACTCCTCCAATGTTGTTGGAGTTAAATAGGGCTACAGAAAACACCACTGCCTCAGCTGCTGCTTCACCACCATTATGGACGGCTTACTCTCAGTGGCCCTTGTATACCCAACAACACCACAACACAACACCTCTCATGACATACGTAATGACTTATTTTATTCATTCTAGAGTATATTCCATGTTTCTATGTTAATAATATTGTTTATTATGTCATATTAGTTGAATTGTGATAGATAAGTTAAGCTGTAGAGTTGATATTAGTGTCATATTCTCCAACAATAAACTTGCCATCCCTCCCTCACACAAACAAGTCTCCAATAAGAACATAAGAAAGGAGGAACACTGCAGTAGGCCTGCTAGCCCATACTAGGCCGGTCCTTCACAAATCCAACCCACTAACAGAACAAATGCTACCCAAGCAATAAGCTCAGGTGCAAGTCCAACTCAAATCCAACCCCTCTCACTCATGTATTTATCCAACCTAAATTTGAAACTACCCAATGTTTTAGCTTCGATCACCCTACTAGGCAGACCGTTCCACTCATCAACTACCCCTATTACCAATGTACATTTATACATTTTATTAGTGCTTTACATTTGGCATTTTTTCTGCATGTAAATCTATATTTATGATAGGGAAGTGACCCCTGAAGTGACCTAGAGTCCTTATGGAGGGGGATTCCCCTTCCAAACAATAACCTCTCTTCCCTCTCTCCTCCTCCCTGTCTTCCATTCATCAACAACAGCCTTCAATAAAGGTAACTGTCATGTTGAATGTTCATTCTTTTGTGCATGTAAATCTATCTTTTAGGTAAAAAACAAAATTGTTGTTGATACTTCTGGGTGTCTGGAACAAATTAATTGGATTTACATTATTTCTTATGGGGAAAATTGATTCGAAAATTGTCTATTTCGATAATAGTCCCACTTCCAGGAAGGGATTAAGGACGATAATTGAGGGACCACTGTATTTCATTCATTTGCTTATTGTCCTGAGTGTATATTCTGTCTCCTTTAAGTCCCTATACTGGATGTGGTTTTCATCCTGGATTTTACATAGAAGTATTTAGGATTTCTTCTAATTTCATTCATGTCTCTCTTTCTTCTCTCTCTCTCTCTCCTGTATATGATGCAGTTAGTCTGTACTCAATGTTTTCCATTTCTCTAACTAGAGTTTCCCTGTTTCCCTTTGGCTTCAGTTTCTCCTGCCTTTGAGATCTGTTATCCATCATCTTCACCTGTAAAGGGAGCGCCTCTCTCTAGTTTCCATCTTCTACCCATTTGCTGTAGAGGTATGTGTCTGGAGCATACTTTGAATGCCAAAGAGCTTATTTTCCCAAGAAACTGGTTTAAACATTGATTGGGCATGTCATCATCCCAGTGTATCTTGCTAAGTTCACAATTTAACTGGTCTCAGTTTTGTTCTTCTTGTTGAAGTTGAATCTGTTGAAATGACCCTCATGATTGATCATGTTTCTCTGTCCAAGGCCACTGTGCATGCAGGTCTGTACCTCGATTATGTTGTGGTTTGAGACTGTAGTCTTTGCCACTTTTATGTCCTGGACTAGACCCCCTCACTGTTCATATATATATACATATATAAGGTCTACAGTGTTTTCCATTTTTGTCAGTTCAGCAATCTGAAGGTAAAATTATTGCAGAGGTTTAATAATTCTTTATGTGGGGATTATTCCTCCAAGCCAGCTCCAGGACTCTCTGCAGTTACAGTCCTTGATACAGTCTTCCATTTAAGATGCCTCAAATTGAAGTCTCCAAGCAGCAGGTTATTTGGGGACAGGTTTGACAGTTATCAGAGCAACGTTTGATGTCCAATAACTGAATGAATGGGCCTGGAAGCTTACACACTAAGTCAGAAAGAATAGATTAATTTAAAAGACAATCCAGTGAAATTTAAAACAGCAAACATGAAAGTACCCCTAGAAGTACATCCTGATCTACACAGCCTTTAGAGACAAGTGCAGTGATATTCACTATAATGGATGATTGCACTAACTAAAATAGCCCTTCTTTGACAGGTAGGTCAGGAGAAAATGTGGAGGCATAAAACATTAAATAAAGTCCAGGATAAGACAGGCACCACCAGGCTTTATGTCTTAAAAGCAAAGACCAATGGGGTATACCCATTGAGCATCAACCTGATTTGAGTTTCCCTGCTCTTGCAGCCTGCCCTGGGGTCAGGGCCCTGACAATTTTATTTGATAAGGTGAGTAGAAACAAGGAGCATAATCTCTATGCATAGCAAGTACATCAGGATGCACTCATGATCGCCTGTCTTCCCTCTGGTCCTCCACCACCAAAAAATATTTGCTCACATGGATGGAAATGCTTAATCAACTCCATAAAAATTAATAAGTCCACAAGCAAAACTAGAAAACACTGTCGATATCCAAGGCCCACAATTCCTTGATCTTCACCAAAATAAAATTAGAAGTCTGAAAAAGTAAACTATACAAGTTTCTGGGTTATGACGACTATGTGTGGACCACAACCAACAATAACCTGAGTAATCTGGTGGGCTCCCAAAGAAGCCTCACATCAGGCTGGGTAGTAAAAGGAGAAAACTCTTGAAACTGGTGAGAGGTATGTCACTGTCAAATTTCAATTTTTTTTTTTTTTCCAGTCAACAAAATCATTACATTTACCTTTGACTGGAAAAGAAATGGGTTGTTTGCAGGAGTACTGAATGATGGCAGTGGTGCAGCTAGAACAGGTAAGGGGTTTGCTGCCTTCAAGGGTTCTCTTTTAGCACTGGAGTCTGTTACCAGAGATGTGCTTCGCACAATAGGACGACGACTCATCTTGAATACAGGTATCTCAGTTTCATTTTCATCTACCTGTAAATAATGTATTTAACATTAACCACAATCTCTGAGGCAACTATGAAAGATTGGTAGATGAATGTGGGAGAGTATGTAAAAGAAGGAAATTAAAAGTGAATATAGGAAAGAGCAAGGTAATGAGAGTAACAAAAAATTAGGTATAAAAAAAAAAAACAGATAGGATATCAAAATGGAAGGAGGGAGTATGGAGGAGTGAATATATTCTGAAGGGAATGTATGAAAGTATAGTGGTACCAACACTCTTATATGGATGTGAAGCTTGGGTGGTAAATGCAGCAGTGAGGAGACGGTTGGAGGCAGTGGAGATGTCCTGTCTAAGGGCAATGTGTGGTGTAAATATTATGCAGAAAATTCGGAGTGTGGAAATTAGGAGAAGGTGTGGAGTTAATAAAAGCATTAGTCAGAGGGCAGACGAGGGGTTGTTGAGGTGGTTTGGTCATTTAGAGAGAATGGATCAAAGTAGAATGACATGGAAAGCATATAAATCTATAGGGGAAGGAAGGAGGGGTAGGGGTCGTCCTCGAAAGGGTTGGAGAGAGGGGGTAAAGGAGGTTCTGTGGGCGAGGGGCTTGGACTTCCAGCAAGCGTGCGTGAGCGTGTTAGATAGGAGTGAATGGAGACGAATGTTACTTGGGACCTGACGATCTGTTGGAGTGTGAGCAGGGTAATATTTAGTGAAGGGATTCAGGGAAACCGGTTATTTTCATATAGTCGGACTTGAGTCCTGGAAATGGGAAGTACAATGCCTGCACTTTAAAGGAGGGGTTTGGGATATTGGCAGTTTGGAGGGATATGTTGTGAATCTTTATACATATATGCTTCTAAACTGTTGTATTCTGAGCACCTCTGCAAAAACAGTGATAATGTGTGAGTGTGGTGAAAGTGTTGAATGATGATGAAAGTATTTTCTTTTTGGGGATTTTCTTTCTTTTTTGGGTCACCCTGCCTCGTGGGAGACGGCCGACTTGTTGAAAAAAAAAAAAAAAAAAAACTTAGTAGACCTGTCAGTGATGGGTCTATGAAAGATAAGATGAACTACAGAACTGATGAGGGAAAAAAGATGGGTGGTGCACTGAGGCATCTATAAAGACAAAGAACCCTATCTATGGAGGCAAAGAGATGCTGAGTATGAGGGCAATGTGAGGTGTGAATATTATGCAGAATTCATAGTTTGGAGATTAGGAGACAGCCGGTGTATTAAAAGGAAAAATAAAATTATGAACTTTAAACTACATATCTTGTGGAGATAAATTATTACTATTATTATTATTAATCCAAGGCTCAAAATGGCAGATGAAATTCTATAAATTTATTGAACATGTGGTATGTAAAAATTTAACTAAAACACATATTTATTTCACAAAACAAACAGCCTTCAAAAAATTTATGACTATATTCTTTCAACAAACCGGCCATATCCCACCGAGGCAGGGTGGCCCAAAAAGAAAAGCGAAAGTTTCTCTTTTTAAATTTAGTAATTTATACAGAAGGGGTAACTAGCCCCTTGCTCCCGACATTTTAGTCACCCCTTATAACACATATGGCTCACAGAGAAAGAATTCTGTTCCACTTCCCCATGGAGACAAGAGGGAATAAACAAGAACTAGTAAGAAAAAGAAGAAAATCCAGAGGGGTGTGTATATATGCTTATACATGCATGTGTAGTGTGCCCTAAGTGTAAGTATTAGTAGCGAGACATACCTGAAATCTTGCATGTTTATGAAACAGAAAAGAGACACCAGCAATCCTACCATCATGTAAAACAATTACAGGCTTCCATTTTACACTCACTTGGTAGTACGGTAGTACCTCCCTGGGTGGTTGCTGTCTAGCAACCTACTACCAAGGAAGATTCAATTTATGCAGTTTAACTTGGATTTAAACAAGCAAGACTTAAAAAATTAATCTAGGTTCTTATGAAGACCTAATTAGAAATTTATTACTGATAACAAAAACATGAAAAAGCAGAGGAAAGACTGCAAAAATGCAGCTAGGCACCTTTGCTCTTTGCTCCTGTAAAAACTTTTCTCGTTCAAATCTTTGCTTCCTCCACTCAGCATCCTCCATTTCATCGTCTCCTTCTTCCTCGTCAGACAGCACTTTCCTCTCATTATCATCACCATCATCACCCATATTTCTCCATCTGCAATTAAGAACAATGAAAGAGTTTACCAAGTATAAAGGTGGAGCAATCAAGGGAGAAAAGGTAGAGAAGCAGGTAAAGCAGAGAAACGGAAAAAAAGTGAAACACATGAGAATGAGCACAAGAAACAATAAAGAAAAGATAGCAGAAGAAAACATGGGGAAAAATTAAGAAGAGCCTTAATAAGTTTTTATAAAGGAATGCTTATATTTTAAGAACAGCAAATAGTTTAAAAAAAAAGAGAAAAATCTTTATAGTATTTGTTCATTATGAAAACACTTTAAATTTATGTTCAATAAGTATGAATACAAAGTAAAGAATGACTCATATAGTAATTAATTTCCTTAAGGTGTTTGCTATATTTCTTATCTTGGCCAAAGTTTAATAGGTTTCTATGCACCATGGGGCCACAGACTCCCCAGAATACACCTAGTCTTCCTCGTGTAACAAGCCCTGCTTTCCATCCAATAATCAGTGGTTACTATGCCAGCCTAGTTCATTACCAGATCCAACAGAGTGTACAGTTGACCTGCAATCCATAAAATACAGACTTAAAAATATCAATCTTAGGTAAGAAACTTGCACAGGGAGGCCCCTCACTCAAAATGGTTTTAGATAAATCCCAGTTTCTTGACCAAATTGATAAAAAAAAATATTAGAAACTAACCATACCTACACCAAATACCCACATACCAAAGATTAATGCATTTGATAATGAAGCACCAGGACTTGTAGCACTTTCAGACTGTACTGTATTGCTGGAAACTTTAGTACCTTCTGGGAGAATGGTGGGTTATCATCACCACAAAGTATAAACATTCATAAGATGAACACAATCATATTAATCCTGAAATTTCCCACTGTGCATCCACTGGAATCTAGAATTTATTTAGTTCACAGCCTGTATTACCTAAAATGCTGAAAATGTCGAACTAAGAAATTTCTGATTTTTAAAATGACTTAAACAGCACTACACAGTTTATGTAAAATAAAATTTACTATTATTGTTTCTCTTTAGATTGAAGGACCCAGTTCACTGACAGAAAAACCTGAAGAGAAATTTACAATCATTTTGTTTTGAATGAACATTTTTTTTTTTTTTTTGGTGTGACCATAACCATTAGAACCTAACAAATTAGACATGCCAAAAGACTATAGTTGTATATTCTTACACTGATGCACATACATTGAAAATGATGAATTAACCAAAACCTCACCTGAACTGCCGTTGTCGCCCCTCACCATGCAACTCTCCATCCTCTAAGTACATTTCCTGCAGGAGCCGTATCTGTCGCTTATCAGAGTCCAGTAAGGTCTTTAAGTGAGCTCTTCCAACCTGTTAACACCAAGTTTACAATAATAAAAATGTGAATATGGTACTTGTCTTATATAAAGATGCCTGCTAAAATAAAACGTATGAATGTATATCAGTTGTAAATATTAATGCTGAAACAAATAGACGTGTGGTGTTCATATGCATCCATCCATATATCTATAGTGAATGCCTCTAATGAAAATTATTAACCCAACAGAATAACTAATCTAGACAAAACACTAGCAAAAACTGGAAAGGTGCAAAACCAAAGACAGCATTTTCACTGAAAATTACAGCCAGGCACAGAAAGCTGTCTTGAAATGTAAAGCGAACAAGCTCAGGAAATTTCACCATATCACAAAAATAACACCAAGACGAAAATCCCTGATAACAGTTTGAAATTCAACCAGGTTGACCGCTTTTCAAGATAACTTTTGTAAATACAGTGGACCCCCGGTTAACGAATATTTTTTCATTCCAGAAGTATGTTCAGGTGCCAGTACTGACTGAATTTGTTCCCATAAGGAATATTGTGAAGTAGATTAGTTCATTTAAGACCCCCAAACATACATGTACAAATGCACTTACATAAATACACTTACATAATTGGTCGCATTGGGAGGTGATCGTTATGCGGGGGTCCACTGTATTACATAACAGCTTTTTTTTTTTTTTTTTAACAAGTCGGCCGTCTCCCACTGAGGCAGGGTGACCCAAAAAGAAAGAAAATCCCAAAGAGAAAATACTTTCATCATAATTCAACACTTTCACCTCACTCACACATAATCACTGTTTTTGCAGAGGTGCTCAGAATATAACATTTTAGAAGTATATACGTATAAAGATACACAACATATCCCTCCAAACTGCCAATATCCCAAACCCCTCCTTTAAAGTGCAGGCATTGTACTTCCCATTTCCAGGATTCAAGTCCGGCTATATAAAATAACCGGTTTCCCTGAATCCCTTCACTAAATATTACCCTGCTCACACTCCAACAGCGCGTCAGGTCCCAAATACCATTCGTCTCCATTCACTCCTATCTAACACGCTCACGCAAGCTTGCTAGAAGTCCGAGCCCCTCGCCCACGAAACCTCCTTTACCCCTTCCCTCCAACCTTTTTGAGGACGACCCCTACCCCGCCTTCCTTCCCCTACAGATTTATACGCTCTCCATGATATTCTACTTTGATCCATTCTCTCTAAATGACCAAACCACCATAACAGCTGTTATGGTATTATTTTTTCTCAACTCAATTTGATTGTGTGTGGTTAAATATTATTATATTATGATTATTATTATAACCTAGCCTAATGTAATCTAACCTGATATAGCCTAACCTATCTTAAAATAAAGAAAATAAAATATGCAAGTTTACAATAAGAGTTAAGGAACTGATGTTGGGTGTCTCAAAGGAAAATTGAAGTAGGATAATGAGACTGGGTTGCTATATAACTAACCTGATCTCTTAAATCATTCTCATCATACTGTTCTAGATCCCCCTCTTCTTCATCCATGTTATCATCATCATCATCCTCTTCATCATCTGTATTCACATCAGAACCAGAGAGTTCGGCTTCATTCTCCAGAAAGTCTGCTCGGATACCACTATTATAAAAAAAATATTTAGGATTCGAGAAATTTGTCACATTATTTTATAATTCTTAAATTATAAGTGATCTAGGGAAGTGTGAAACAAATATCTGCTAATTACAGCAATGCTCAGGAAAACTATGGTAAAGTATAACTTAATTTTTATGCTTTAAAAAGAAATCAAACGAATAGCCAGTTATCCACAGCATAACATTTAACGATTGTAAAACTTTTTACTCTGGCTAAACTTGTAAAATCTGAAATCAAAGGTACTACTACAGTCATTTTATTAGACAGCTATTTATCATGCTTCTCTCAACCAACTGTAAATGTAATATAGTATATACATAAATCTATGTACAAATTTAAGTGGGAGAGCCCTTGTACAAATTACGTACTGGCGGATTCATCATTCCCCTTCAACTCTGTCATAATAAGTCTTCGAGTGATCACTGCAACAATGTTAAGGTATAAGTAAGGCCCAGCACTACATGACCTCTTAACCACCATCTTTACCTACACCTGATCAATTTCTTGCTTCTGTCTAGGAGCCCAGTGTACTTATTCAAGTACAGTTGTTGCACTGCTTCCGGTTGCGTGTAAATGAAAATATATGAAAGCCCTCTAGCACACCTCTATTCTTAATTTGTCCTTTATTCTGAGGCATTTTTTTTATAAAGCACATGTTATTTTCAGGATTTTTTACAACTCCCTTCTCTCCTACATTACCTACCACAAAAATTACAAGAGTTAGCAAGTTTTCCTGTTTTCAACTTTCACAGGCTTCACACATTCGTGAATTCCCAACCGCCAAATTCCCAGCCACCAAATCATATTTAAGTTTCCCGCCACCTGCGAGTCCCTACTACCCTCCCTCTGACCCCCGCAACTGGCAGCCAGCCCTCCCACCACTCAGTGTGGTGAGTGTTTTGTTTGTTCATTATTTGCTATTAAACTACAGTATAAATAATGTAAACCCATTCATGACTGCATATTGGAATGGCTATTTGGACAGGTATTAGACGGTGACATCATGTGTTTACTCTTGAACACAGCAAAGAATTAAACATTTCTGCTACAGCTAATAATAACAATAGTAATAATAATAATAATAGTAATAATAATAATAATAATAATAATAATAATAATAATAATAATAATAAATACAATATAATTGAAGAAGGAAATTGTACAAAAATACTACGAGGGAGTGGTTGACACATTGTCAGTGTGACTTTGTTTATGCTGGAGTGAGCATTAGTCTCCGTGCTCTTCTAAACTTTTCACAATAATTCATTGTGTTTGGTGCTTGTAGATTGAGTGCGACTGGAGTGGTAGAGGCAGTGGTTGAGGCAGCGGTTGAGGCAGTGATTGAGGCAGCTGTTGAGGCAGCGATTGAGGCAGCTGTTGAGGCAGCGATTGAGGCAGCGATTGAGGCAGCGATTGAGGCAGCGATTGAGGCAGTGGTTGAGGCAGCTGTTGAGGCAGCGATTGAGGCAGTGGTTGAGGCAGCTGTTGACGCAGCGATTGAGGCAGTGGTTGAGGCAGCGATTGAGGCAGTGGTTGAGGCAGCGATTGAGACAGCAGTTGAGGCAGTGATTGAGGCAGCGGTCGAGGCAGTGGTTGAGGCAGCGATTGAGGCAGTGGTTGAGGCAGTGATTGAGGCAGTGGTTGAGGCAGCGATTGAAGCAGCGATTGAGGCAGCAATTGAGGCAGTGGTTGAGGCAGCGATTGAGGCAGCGATTGAGGCAGTGGTTGAGGCAGCGGTTGAGGCAGTGGTTGAGGTAGCAATTGAGGCAGTGGTTGAGGCAGTGATTGAGGCAGTGATTGAGGCAGTGGTTGAGGCAATGGTATTTAATAACATACATGTTAATAATAATACATGTTATTAATAATAACATGTACTATTATTATTTATAACATATATGTTATTAAATACCACTGCCTCAACCGCTGAATTATTGTGAAATGTTTGGAAGAGCACGGAGACTAATGCTCACTCCAGCATAAACAAAGTCACACTGACGATGTGTCAACCACTCCCTCGTATTTTTGTACAATTTCCTTCTTCAATTATATCGTATTATTATTATTATTACTATTGTTATTATTAACAGTAGCAGAAATGTTCGATTCTTTGCTGTGTTCAAGAGTAAACACATGATGTCACCGTATAATACCTGTCCAAATAGCCATTCCAATATGCAGTCATGAATGGGTTTACATTATTTATACTGTAGTTTAATAGCAAATAATGAACAAACAAAACACTCACCACACTGAGTGGTGGGAGGGCTGGCTGCCAGTTGCGGGGGTCAGAGGGAGGGTAGCAGGGACTCGCAGTGGTTGAGGCATTGGTGGAGGCAGTGGTGGAGTCTGTGGTATTTAATAACATACATGTTTTTAAAGCATAACATGTATATATTTAGCACAATTTACGACGTTTTCATGTATTTTATGATTGTTCAGGTTCAACAAGTTAAGGAAGCAGTATTGTATTATATTTCCCTACAATATATTGGGGCACCAATCATTCACGGTTTTTCAACATTCGCGAGGCTCTTGATCCCCTAACCCTCGCGAAAGTTGAGGGAGACCTGTACTGGGTTTTAACCCTTTCAGGGTCAGAACCCCCTGATCTGATGTGAAACTTACTCTCAGGGTTGGAGAATTTAAAAAAAAAAAATTATTATGAAATGATAGAATTATTTTCAGAAGGTAACGAACCAAAAGTATGAAATCTGATGAAACGCTTATGAAATAACGCTCTCATGATATTTAAGCATCAGCGATTTTGCCCACTTTGAGCCCTATTATAATGTAGAAAAAGATACACATATACAGTGGAACCTTGGTACTCGAACAGCTCAGGATTTGAAAGCTTTATTTGGTAAACAAAATGCTCGGTAGTCAACCGTTTGCTCAGCACTCGACCAAACAAACACGACCTGCCAGAACTTCGCTGTAAACTATTCTGCATTTCTTGGTGTCTTTTTACATTATTTGCATAAGTAAGTCACCATGGGGCCTAAGAGAGTTAGTGATAACAGCAAACCAAAAAGAAAATTGGTTGGGAAAAATTTGTCATGTACTCGAACAGATTGGCACTTGAACAGCCTTCTGGAACCAATTAAGTTCAAGTGCCGAGGTTCCATATATACATACTTTTTTTTGTTTAACTTACCCCTTTAACTTGTCTTTAAAACCAGTGAATGATGTTCGAGGAATTTCATTTTCTTCATCATCAAATTCTATAGCATCCTGAGCATCCTCATCATCTGTCAATATAAAATTAATAAACGGAACCATTCATACTTTCAAGTATTATTATTTAACAGCGGTACATTACTTCCTCAACTTGAATGTTATAAATCATATTCATGTTCTGTATTCTACCAGGACAGTTTTTTTCAAGATGCACTTGTTAAGGGTTAGTAAGAATGTGTTATTGCAAATATTTGTTGCTCTACTGACGTTTATACAATGTGCCCCATGAGGATGGATAGCCAATATACCCACTTTAACCTCAATCACTCCTTTGAAATTCCCCCACCAAGTATTGTCCATAAGATTTGATAAAATATTTCTATAACATATAAAGTTTAGTGTCCAAGTGAATCATCATCAGCTCATTCAATACTACTTGTGTATCTTTTACTCACATAAGAACTCATGAAATCAGACACTGACAAAAGGCTGATATATACAAAACACTTTCATTCTATAACCTACTAACCAGAAAATTGCATAATCCTCTTCCTTTTCTTCCTGGCTTGCATCTTAGCCTGTCTGTTGTTTGCACCTTCCTCATCTGATGAATATATTATCATCTCTGGTTCAGGTCTTAACTCTTCATCCTCTGTACTGCCTAGTAAACTAGTTTCTGGTTTCTCGGTGTCACCTACATCATTCATAGAGTTTTCTTGAGAACCTTGGCTAAAAACAAAAAATACAGTACTGTATAATAAATATTTTTTTATTTATTAACACATCGGCCGTTCCCCACCAAGGCAGGGTGGCCTGAAAAAGAAAAACTTTCATCATTCATTCCATCACTGTCCTGCCAGAGGCGTGCTTACACTACAGTTATAAAACTGCAACATTAACACCCCTCCTTCAGAGTGCAGGCACTGTACTTCCCATCTCCAGGACTCAAGTCTGACCCGCTGGATTCCCTGAATCCCTTCATAAATGTTACCTTGTCCACACTTCAACAGCACGTCAAGTCCTAAAAATCATTTGTCTCCATTCGCTCCTATCTAACACACTCATGCATGCTTGCTGGAAGTCCCAGCCCCCTCCCCTCAACCTTTCCTAGGCCGATCCCTACCCCGCCTTGCCTCCACTACAGATTTATACACTCGCAAAGTCATTATATTTAACCTGCTTTAATATATAGTATTTCAAGATCCAATAAGTGAGTTCAACCATTTAACGTATTTACTATAATTATTATTTCTATAAGAGGCTCGAAACACTGGAGGAGACAGACAATATACTGGATTATGAAGTCGGTGTCCTGCAAAGAAAGTGCAAATTATAATGAATATGTTTTCCCTCTTTGGATCAGGAAAAATATTTTTAAAAACTGTGGTAACTAATTAAAGATAATAATGAACCTGTAAGAATACTCAAGCTAAATGGAATAAATAGTGTAGAAAAACTTACACTTCTTAATGTATCTACTGGCTTTATACAATCATGGTAACACATGTAACACACTATATCTTTTTTTTTTTTTTAACACCAGCCATATCCCACCAAGGCAGGGTAGCCTAAAAACAAAAACGAAAGATCCTTTTTTCTAAATTTAATTTATACAGGAGAAGGGGTTACTAGCCCCTTGCTCTGGCAGTTTTGTCACCTCTTATGACACACATGGCTTATGGAGGAAAAATTCTGTTCCACTTTCCCATGAAGACACTATATCTTATTACCTTTAATCCCAGACTCTTCCCTATTTCCTCACATAAGTTAAAGTGTGGGAAAGCAGGTTTAAATGAATTTCTTATGCTTAACCTCATGAGTTTCCCTCCAAGGCAGTGAGGGTGACTCAATGAAGAAACCATTCATCTTCCCATCCCACTTCAGAGTGAATGAAACCAACAGAAAAATGGGAATAATAATAGAGCAATTCTTACGTGGTAAATTTTGCAGTACAGAGATTTAATAATTCTTCGTCATCACTGTGTTGGTCTTCATCTGGGTTGCACTTGTATGATACAAGGTCGGATACACTACTCTCATTTTTTTTCTTTTTGCCTCTCTCTTCCATACCTTGACTCGCAAAATGACCTGAACATAAGCCCACAAGTTCACCTATTTCTTGAGATGGGGTGAGGTTCTCTTCATACAAGTCCTTTATTTGGGTAGTTGGGGTCTTCTCTGATTAAGAAGAAGAAGCTATGTACTTTATAGGAATTAAATTTAACAGAAAGATTTGCATACTTTCTACGGCAAATTAATATGTTCTTATACAGAATAAAATACAAATACATATGCAATCTATGAACTTTACCCCATTCCTACTTTTAAACTGGGACGGGGTCAAATACACATGTCCAAATACAAGTACAATATTATCCAGAGGGCAAAAAATGGGGGTTACTGAGGTGATTTGTACATTGAAAGAGGATGGAGGAAAAGAGGATGACTTGGAAAGTGTATAAATCTGTAGTGGAGAGAAGGTGGGGTAGAGGTTGTCCTTGGAAAGGTATGAGAAGGTGAAGGAGGTTTTGTATGGGATGGGTTTGGACATCAAATAGGCATGCATGAGCATGTTATATAGGAGTGGAGGTAAGTGGATTTCATAACTTGACGTGCTGTTGGAGTGTAAGGTAACATTTTAATTTCTTTCCAAATCTGAAGTATAATACCTGTTTTTCTGTATCTGTATTTGTATGCGTAAATATAACTATGTATTTAGTCCCATCCTTGTTTTAAATTTTAGTTTTGGTTAACTTACACTGATTTTTTTTTTTATTAACACACTGGCCGATTCCCACCAAGGCAGGGTGGCTTTACCTGATATGTGTGAAAAATAATTTTAATATCAGAATGATGCAAAAAAGCTTTTTTTCAACAAATCAGCCATTTCCACCAAGGCAGGGTGACTCAAAAAGAAAGAAAAACCCAAAAAGAAGGAAAAAATTTTCATCGTAATTCAACACTTTCACCATCACTCAAACATAATCACTGTGTTTGCAGAGGCGCTCAGACACAACAGTTTAGACGTCCCTCCAACTGTCAATATCCCAAACCCCTCCTTTAAAGTGCAGGCACTGTACTTCCCATTTCCAGGACTCAAGTCTGGCTAACCAGTTTCCCTGAATCCCTTCATAAAATATTACCCTGCTCACACTCCAACAGCTCAAAAAATAACAACAAAATAACAAACTTAATATATAACAAAAATTGAATGTTATTTGTTTGGTAGATGGAATTCTTCATCAGCCAAATTTTTTACTCCTGACAATGCAATGTGATCAATTGGCTATAGCAGTTATAAAAATGAAACATATAAGAAACAAAAACTGGTTGCATATTACCAATAAATTAGAATCCTTGTCACATACAGATGCATTCACAGTAGTATCAATGCTGCATCAACAATCCCACATGTTCTCTTACTGTAATATCCAATGCAACAATACCAGGTAACTGGTACTGCTGCATCGCTCAGCACACTTGTGATGTGGATAACTACATTTCATCACTTACGAATCAGATCCAAAAAATATAACTATTTATTCACCACTGGGATTCCTTTGTGAGACTGATGCTGTGTTTGGCTTAATGCACAGTGGGTTGATTGATTGCTTCATTTCAGAAGAGCTAGCAAACAAACTTCTGACAGGATTAGATTAGATTAGATTTTGCCACCAAAGTGGCTAGTTTATAACAAAAGAAGGCACAATACCGTGACTGGAACAATACACAAATAACCCGCACATAGAAGAGAGGAGCTTACGATGACATTTCGGTGACTTTGTAAATGGTCCAAGTTGGACCGAAACATCGTCGTAAGCTCCTCTCTTCTATGTGCGGATTATTTGTGTATGGCTAGTTTATTGTGCATATCACATCCATCCTGTGGACAGTAGTACAAGAGCATATGAATACACAAAAGGTCTAAGAACTAGACCCCAAAATGGTTAACAGGAATACATTTGGATTTACGTATATCTACAGTTCACTTCGTCTAAGCTGTCGTATCTGAGCGCCTTTGCAAAGACAGTGATTATGTATGAATGATGGTGAAAGTGTTGAAAGATGATTAAAGTTTTTTCTTTCTTTCTGGGTTTTTTTACTTTCTTTTTGGGTCACCCTGCCGTGTTAAAAAAAAAAAAGTTCACATTTCTGTTACAAGCGAATTTAGATTTTTTTTAATATATATAGCATCATTAATAGGATATCTTGACATGTCACATAGATTATTATACTATCTCTATATTCCTCAATAAGCGGACAATTAAGCACATAGTGTTCAACATAGTGACTGGCTACATTTTCATCATAAACTCAATTAGTATTAAACACTGTCCACATCATAAATGGGTTTACTACATCTGTTACCAATGTGGCTGCAGCACTGGGGAAAATGAAAGGGAGGAAGAGTTCAAAGGAATATTTGCAAATTAGGAAAAATATCTTTCTGTCTTGATTCTGACGAGACAGTGATAGTGTGAATGATGGTGAAAGTACTTCTTTTTCAGGTCACCCTGCCTCAGTGGGAGAAGGCCATCATATTAAAAAAAAAAAAATATTCCTGATCTTTGGTATGACTGCTATCACTACACTCACTGCTCTGTGGAGTAGCCTCAGTGTACAGGATGATGAGTGTATCCACTAACTTAATCTTTGATCTACCTTTGATGAGTTTTGAGTCTTTCTACTCCAGGATCCTGGCTATGTGCCAGGCTCATCTGGTGGGACAACACTGAATAGCTGGCAAAGGTTGTAACCAAGGAAGAAAATGCTGTGGACCTTGGGCAAGACAATATTTATTCAATGGGATGAAATGATGGTACTGTATACAAGACCTGAATCAGTACCCCATTAAGAATAAGTCAGTCAAAGTCTACCTTGTCTACTGTCTACAATCCAAAGTAGTTTGTATCTCATCATCATATTCCTCCTTGTTCTTCCTTTTTATTAGATTAGGTGTACAATAAGATTTTTTTTTTTAACAAGTTGGCCGTCTCCCACCGAGGCAGGGTGACCCAAAAAAGAAAGAAAATCCCCAAAAAGAAAATACTTTCATCATCATTCAACACTTTCACCTCACTCACACATAATCACTGTTCTTGCAGAGGTGCCCAGAATACAACAGTTTAGAAGTACAGTGGACCCCCGCATAACGATCACCTCCGAATGTGACCAATTATGTAAGTGTATTTATGTAAGTGCGTTTGTACGTGTATGTTTGGGGGTCTGAAATGGACTAATCTACTTCAGAATATTCCTTATGGGAACAAATTCGGTCAGTACTGGCACCTGAACATACTTCTGGAGTGAAAAAATATCGTTAACCGGGGGTCCACTGTATATACTTATAACAAGATTTATGACTCCAAATAAACAAAAATGCAAAATATCATTCCTTAGCAGCAAACTGCTTCCTGGCAGTTAATGGTCCAAGTCACATTGAAATGTTATAATAAGTTTCATTCCCCTATGCTCTAGCTATTTGTGTATTGCTCCAGTCACAGTCTGTGCCTTTTTATTCTTTGCATTCTTGTTCGTTGCCATTTCTTATGCACTGTTTCCATACATACCACATATTTCACATTCACCATACATGACAAGCTTCTTGGTCATTATCTTACTGTATCATAAAGTTCATTAAAAAGTACTTGTTTCACCACTCAAAAAGAAGAAAAATATAGGTACCTTACCTGTAAACTGTCCAGAGCATAGATCAATCAAATCATCTTTCTGTGAATCACCAATGTCTGTGAAATCTAGCATCAACTTGGCAATTGAATTAATCTTAGGTGATTCATGTTGTGGGAACTGTGAATCCTCCAACTGAGTTAAGTGAAGACTTAATCCCTCTGGGGATGGAGGAACAGAGTTACTGGCTGCAACAACATTACTAGAGTCTTGAGAATCCTCAATTGGTAAACTCAAGTCACGCTCTCTCTGAAAATAAATAATAACTACATTTTATAACGCAATAGTAGAAAAATTAATGTGATAAAGTATATTATCCTTTGTTAAGGAATGCATCAAATTTACAGCTAAACCTGCACTTGTATGCAAATACACTGTCTTTAATGTTGAAGAAATGTTTACAGGATTTTTTTAAATACTAAGTATGTCACAGATTCAAAGAATTACTGGTTATATGAAAAAAAGAAAACCATCTGATGAGAGAACTGCATTCAGGTGCAAGAAATGTAGTAAAACCTCAATATAATAAATCCCAATTTAATGGATTTCAGACTGAAATGACAAAATCTATGCCTGGATGTTCAGAAACAACATATACTCCATTAAATCAAGAACTATCCATTATTGTTAGTCCACCTGGTAAATTTATTTTGTTAAATCCAGAATTGTCCATTCGCTTGGTAAATTTATTTCAAATTAAGCAGATAAAGTCTGTTAAATGAAGAATTGTCTATTATTGCTATGGTCTCCTGGGAAAATTTATTTCAGATTAAATGGACAAACTCATTAAATTTAAATGTCAGTTAGTTATGATTGTGGAAAAACAATCACACAATTCAAATTTAAAGGACACCCCTCCCCAACTATCTGTCCATTAAGTTGAGGTCTCACTGTATGAAGGTAAATGTTCTCAGAGATGTTTCAGTACTGTGTTAGTATGGTCATTACAGATACCCATTATCTGTAATATATATATAACTATCAGTATGCCTGAGACCAGTACAATGCTCTGAACATTTAACCCTGATAGTGCAAGTACAAATCAAGCCACTTCATCAAGGCACTTGTACTTTCAAGACTTGAATACAGATGTACAATAATAGCAACCCTAAATAAAGTACTGAACAAAAAAAAATTCACATGAATTAATGGGAATACTGAAAAGCCTTTGATTAATACTAAAATTAAGAGCTTTGTTTTCTTACATTGATTATTACTGACCATGGAATATAAGCTTAGGTATCAATATTAAAGCCTGTATATTAATAACAATATTACAACATGCTCAGTATTTAAGCAAAAGGATCAATATAAATCTCCTTTGCTTTGTAATTAGAGCATCTCACTAAATCAAACATCAATATTTTTTTCAACACACTGGAAGTTTCCCAATGAGGCAGGGTGGCCCAAAAAAGAAGAAAAACTTTCATCATCATTCATTCCATCACTGTTTTGCCAGAGGTGTGCCGATACTACAGTTCAAAAACTGCAACATATCTCCATCCCTCCTTCAAACATCAATATATTAAGCAAAAAATACTAGAACAATAAATTAACTTGTGTTACAAGTGAGTGGAGATGAATGGTTTTTGGGATGAGCTGTTGTAGTGTAAGCAGGATAATATTTTGTGAAGGGACTCAGGGACACCAGTTAGGTGGACTTGTGTCCTGGAGTTGGGAAGTACAATGCTTGCACTTTAACCCTTAAACGGTCCAAACAGATCGACGTTCAAATTCGTAGTGCTACAAAAGTAGATCTACTTTTTTTTACATATTTTCAAATATAACAAAAAAATGTAGATAAAAGTTTTTTTACACGTTTTCACATGTAAAACAAAAAAAAAAAGATCTACATTTTTTTACATACTTTCAGATGTTGAAAAAACGTATATATACGTTTGGACCATTTAAGGGTTAAAGGAGGGTCTGTGTTACTGTACTGGTCGTCTGTGTTACTCTGCTGGTCGTCTGTGTTACTGTACTGGTCTTCTGTGTTACTGTACTGGTCGTCTGTGTTACTGTACTGGTCGTCTGTGTTACTAGGGGTCTGAGATATTTGCTGTTAAGAGTGACATCTGAACTGTCATCTGTGCACCTCTGCAAAGACAGTGATTGTGTGTGAATGATGGTGAAAGTGTTTCTTTTTTGGGCCACCCTACCTTGGTGAGAGATAGCCGATGTGCTGATGAAAAGGAAAAAAAGTAACTATTCAGGTAACTCACTGAAGTATTGCTAGAGGAGTGAGACTTGGTCTTAGTAAAAGGAGTGAGAAAGGTAGTTTCCCCTTCACTCTCACTAGGATGACCACCTCTGTTGTGCTTCATTCCTCCTCCTGGCTGGTGTCCAGGAATCACAGAACCAAAAATTTCAAAACTTGAATCCATTGAAGTGGTACTGGCATCCTTATCCATACTTTCACCTGAAAATATCCAGATTTAATTACTGTGTTCAGAGACATTGCAAAATCCATGCAAGTCATTTAGTGCTTTTAATTAAGTATAGAGGAGGGTCCCATTTCTATGGCTATTGTGTTCCCAATCCCCTGTGATAAGCAAAAATCACCGGTGGGTGGAAAAAACGTTTTTTCCAATATCAAATGCATCTAAAATACCTGATAATGTGTTTACACTAACATATATTAAATGCTCAATACAGTTAGGCATAATTTTTTTTTTTAACAAAATCGGCTGTTACCCACCAAAGCAGGGTGGCCTGAAAAAGAAAAACAGATGCAAAAGTGAAATATATATATAGTATATACAATATATATATTGGCAGTTTGGAGGGATATGTTGTGTATCTTTATATGTGTATGCTTCTAGACTGTTGTATTCTGAGCACCTCTGCAAAAACAGTGATAATGTGCGAGTGTGGTGAAAGTGTTGAATGATGATGAAAGTATTTTCTTTTTGGGGATTTTCTTTCTTTTTTTGGGTCACCCTGCCTCGGTGGGACACGGCCGACTTGTTGAAAAAAAAAAAAAAAAAAAAAAATACAATACTTACCTTAAAATATGGTGCTGGTCGCCCTTCCCTTACAGAACTATCGTGCGAAAACCACCGAAAATGTGGAACACTGAAAAAAGGGTGCCATATACATGGGGGCCTCCTGTACCAAATTTTGGACCTGATATGAACCTAAAGTAAACGTTCTAAAAAAGATCTAACATCATAATATTCATTAAAATGTTTACCACCTTGATGAGGTGGGAAGGCATTTGCCTAGTAAGATTAGGCAAGGGAAGAGAATGAGAAGAATCATTACTAGTCTATCAGTTAAATTTTTAGTGTTTTGTTCCCCTTAGAAATATGCTATCAGTAAAGAGGGCATCTGTATCAACACCATCTTTCTAGACACTGTAAATGCAATTCAAGTGTATGAATGAGCACATAATAATAATAATAATAATAATAATAATAATAATAATAATAATAATAATAATAACCAACACTTTTCCTAAATAAATTACTAAATGTAAAAAGAAACTATAAAGTTGGGTCCTCTCTCTTGGGTCACCCCCACTTCAGTGGGAGATGACTGGTGTGCTAAAAAATAATAATATATGAACAAAAATGGATAATAAATAAACAAATATATAAATATTATCATCATCATCATCCTTTTGGCCAGTTTTGGTTACATAAGTTATAAGAATGTTAATCACATCTATTATAGAACAGTTAAAACTGTTGTAACAATACTCACTCTTTTTGCAGGCCTGAGAAGAAAATAGATCCTCAGTACTAGAACGAGTGATGGAAGGTACACGTGAAGAGTTAGCACAAGGCAATGTTTGAATATCTTGGGATTCTTCCCAATGCAATTTAAGCTGCTCACTGTTATCCTCCTCTTCATCGTCATCTTCCACAGAAATCCTTTCCCGTGTGCTGGGCATCTCAATGGTATCATTACTGTCATCTTCATTTACTTCTGGCCTGCAATTACAAATTCTTAATGATTTTCAGAAATTGTAAATTCTCAACATAACTTACAAACTAATAATTTATGCATTTTTGGAGTGAACTACTACATTCGTTATTTAACATATCTGCAGCAAACATACCTCTTCTTTTATCCAGTGGCACAATCAGAATAAGATAAAAATATCATATTAGTATTTGTGTATCTTTGACAAAAATAAATCCTAAAACCCACTGTAATGCACTAAAACTTTTTGCTTTAAAGGGTGGCTAACATGTGTAAAATTTTGTTAAAAGATAATCATATGACACCATGCATGAAAACTACAGAGCAGAGTACTTTTTAAACCTCCAAGGCATTTGTAAAAGTTGGCAGCATTCAACAATGGGTTATACCTTTATATATCTTTGATATTTCAACATTTTCATCAGATACAAGTCAAAAATGCTTGTAATATTGGTAGATAAATAACTGTTCCTTGCAGAGATCAAACAACTTTTCAAAGACTTCATTTAAAGACTAATAAATGCACATCAGGTAACCTTCAATACAATAACTGAAAACTAGATGTACTGAATATTTAAGGTAACAAAGCTCAATACAGTATATTGAAGCAGCAGTGTTCATATGGAAAAGACACAAATGCACAAATTACAGGGCAATTACAAATATAGATTAAATGATTTGACTACGATGTTCTGACACTCTGTTTTAGATTAGTATAGTATTCTATAAGAATGTTGCAGTTTTTCATTTCATGTTAAATTATTCCACACCTTTGGCCCTTAAATTTGCAACAATTTTTGTGGATGTTCAATCCAAAGAATGTTTCAAAGGATATTCAATCCTAGAATGTGCATGAGATAAGTGGCTTTGCAATTTTTAATGAATATGTTCTATTAGTCTGGGACTGCTGCTAACACTTTACCCACTTTTTTAATAGAAAGTGTCTCAGAATACCATTGTTCTGGGTCACTTAGCAATACATACACTAATTTAACTGAAAAATACCATTTCATATACTGTACAAAGCAGCAGAGTCTGCTGAAACACTAAGTAAAACAAAAAATTAATCATAATTTTCTTATAAAGCCTTTTTATATACCAGTCGTCTCCCACCGAGGCATCTGTATCTGCATCAAATACAAATCATAATAGTTCTCTACATTAATTTTAAAGCCTTATGTGCTGCAAAGATAGAAAATAACAAGAGATTACAAAAAATACATACCCATCATTATCATCATCATCATCAGCCTCCTCCATGTCTTCATCATCATCTTCTTCTGCCTCTTCATCTACATATATACTTTGTTTACGCTTTTTATCTTTGATGATGATGTCGTTTTCTTCCGGCTCAGATTCTGTTTCATAGTCTGTGTCACTTTTATCAGTGAGCTCAGCCTCTTCATCTGGAAGGTCTCCATCACCATCGTGATCTATGAAGAATCAATTACGTACAATAAATTTAAATTTGAATTTACAATGTAAATTAAAAAAATTACTGTAGAAAAGTAAAGGTTAAGCAACTCTGTGGCTACCAAAGTAAAATTTGCAAGACTGAAGAATAAATCAAATAGAGTCATACCCCCAAATCTGTAGAGGATTTTTATGTCACTCTTAATCTTATTAATGCTGATATTCATAAGACAGATATACCATTATAAAAAGAAGTTTGTGTAGAAAAGGGGAAGGAGGGACAGAGGGAGGGGGGAGAGAGGAAAGACGAAGAAATAAATATAGAAGGGGGGGAATAACCAGACAGAAAAAAAGTTGGAAAAATAGGTGACATACTTGTGCATTAACTGTGCTCAGGTTTTACCCTCATTATCTGAGAACCTTTATCTTTGATTCAACATTATTGCTGAAATCTGCTTGCAGTATGTTGAAGAGTCTTGGGTCACAGACAGTCACAGTGTGCTCACTAACTGTATCTATGGCCACCTATCCTTCACTGGTTTATTCCACACTTTCTCCCATAAATTTCACCCCAGTAAACTGTTATAGGAGAGTGCAGGTTAGGGACCAGTCCCTCAAGTTCATTCAAAGTACATACGTATATATTATCAAGTTTCTCTCTTCAGTATTCTCAAGAGGACAATCTAAATGCTTTGAAGTGTTCACAATAGTTTAGATGTTTATTGTAAAGTAAAAGGACACAAGTGCAACTAATGTGACATTTTATTGTGGCAACGTTTCACTCTCCAGGAGTTTTGTCAAGCCGTTACAAACAGTACATGGACACAGAGGGTATATATAGGCTCAGAGTGAGGTGCAATACTAGAGGTAGTAGAAGTAGTAGTGACTTAAGTTGTAGTAGTAATACAATATGGTAGAGCAATTAACTTGTACATGAGTAAAAGGATATAAAAGCTATTACTTGGGTAACATAAAAACAGGTTAGACAATTATAGACTGGATAGAGAAGGCCTGTTTCAGTGTTCACTCTCTGTAATGTGCTTTGTGTAGTATTAACAGGAGAGACTATGTGATTGCAGGGTTTATTGCTTTCAGGAGGATTCTTGCTAAGACTTCAGAGATGGTGAAACTGCCTTTGTTTTGTTTAATTGTATTCGAAACAGCGATTAGTGCTGTTGATTCTATGAGGGCAACATACAACCTTTGTACATTTTCAAACTCTGCTATTTCTTCTTCCTTGAAAGGCACTGTGAGCACTAATTAATATTCAGGATGTGAAAGCACAAGTGATTTGTCCAGTACCATTTGTCAAGTATCATTGCTCTTCTACTTCTGCGATTCTAATATTCCATCTTGTTATTTTTCTGGCCTTTGCTGCATTTGTCTTACAGTGTTCCAAATGACAGATCCTCTGACATAATTATGTATTCCTAAGACTTACCTGTTCGTTAAGTTCAGTGATATAGTCTGGCTGCATTCTGTATACTGTGCCATTTTTGGTTAAAAAATTACAGCACTGAACATAATATTATTTTCATTTGCCCATTGGAAGATTTTGTTTGCATCATCATTGGCAAATCATGTGCCTTTTCAGTACATTACTGAGAACTGGTATATTAATTAGCAAGAATGGTACAACAATTTTCATACAGTAAATAGAAATCATAAATTAACAAAAGATTTTAATGGCCTTCAGATTTTTTCAAGGTAACATTAAAATTGATTACACTCAACAGAACACCACTTAACAGAGTTAATAACGAAGTGCTTTACCTTGAATAACTTGTTCAGTCTCCAGAAACTGCTTTTCCTTTACTCTCCTCATCCTTTCCTTTTCACGCTGCTCTCTAATCTTGGCTTTAAGAGTTGTCTTCAAGGACACCAGACGAGCTCCAGGGACTGTTTCCGCAGGCTAGAGCAAGGGACTATTCAGATGAAGATGGGATTTCTGATTACTGTACAGGAGGGCCCAACATATACAGCACCTCCTTTTCAGTGTTTCACATTTTCACTGGCTTCATACTGAGCCATAGCTCATTAAGTTCCACATGCCGGCAATTGTCGCTGGTGGGTAGAACAATGGCTCAATTGAAAGCCAATGAAAACGTGGAACACTGAAAATCAGTGCTGTATATGGGGCCCTCTTGTACTGGTATTAATGAAGGACTGTGCACATATACACTCAACATTAAATACTGGATTACCATATTTTATGGCAAACGAAACACTCCAGTGTCAATTCTGACTGGCTAAATTTTTTGGGGGGAAAAAAAAAAAAAAAAAAAAAAAGATAAATGGTACTTCAGCCTCCAAGATGCTTAGTAAATTTTCAAGACTTATTTTGGGAAAAAAAAAAAAATAGTATCTTGAATGCTGTAAAATATGGTAATTCACCTAATGTAACATGCAATAAGTAAAAATTCAAAACCATTACAATAATAATCTGTGAATGAAATCTTTAGTACTAAAAGCCAATAAATAATAATAATAATAACTGGTAGAAGCCTCCAGCTCAAGCTAAACGTTTTGTCAAAAAGATTCCTAGTGTTGCATGTCTTGTACTGCATTCTTAATACTATATACACTATATTTTTATTACATATTCACCACTTTCTCACACCAGCCATCTTTTTTATTTTTAAACCGAAGGTTAATACCTTTCATTTATAACAATTTTCTTTAATTCTATTACTTTCTCCTCTTTTTATGTTAACTACTCCCTTCTCTCACATGCCTTTTATTTTTAATCTAGTTAATATTAAGTAATAATAAGACATTAGTCAATCCTCTATCTAGTCGACATTAATGCTTAACATATACTACAGTAGAACCCTTGTATCTGCAGATTTGGTTTCTGCAATTTGTTATCCATGGTTTACCATGGCAAAAAAGTAACCCTTAATTTTACTTAATAATGACACCAAAGTGAAATAACAGCACTGCTGGCAGTTCTTCAAAGCCTACAAGAAGCTGTGAAGTGCTGCTCATCAGTGAAAAAGTGCTAATTCTCCACTTATTGAGCATAATTTATCAATTAAATTCTTTATCACGGGTATGTATGTAAACGAAAAACGACTTAACCCTTAAATTGTCCAAACGTAGATCTACGTTTGCTCGCGTAGCACTCCGAACTTAGATCTACGTTTTTTACATGGTTTCTTATGGTGAAAATCAAGGTCGGAGCTCTACGCGTGCAAACGTAGATCTACGTTTGGACAGTTTAAGGGTTAAATACAGGGTTTGATACTATCTGCAGTTTCAGGTATCTCTGGTAGGACTTGGAACGTAATCCCTGCAGATACAGGAGACCACTGTAAAGCAAAATTTCTTGAAATTGAAGGAAATTTTATAATGAAGAATATTTCACGGCAGTGAAAGAAACTTCATGATAATGATTGTTACGATTCCTGGCATTTATCATAAGTAGACTGTAAACATATCTATCTAACCTGTTCTTCTTCGGCCTCCAAGGTGACAGTCACATTAGATGCCACAAGCTTTTCACTGCCCTCTTCATTCTTTTCCTTACTTACAATGCTGCAAAAAATAGATATACAAGTTAACAGATATAAGCTGCATTTCAACTGTGAATATTTTTTTTTTTTTCAACAAGTCAGCCGTCTCCCACCGAGGCAGGGTGACCCAAAGAGAAAGAAAATCCCCAAAAAGAAAATACTTTCATCATCATTCAACACTTTCACCTCACTCACACATAATCACTGTTTTTGCAGAGGTGCCCAGAATACAACAGTTTAGAAGTACTAGTATATACGTATAAAAATACAAATTATTTTATATTTATGAAAACAAGCACAAACTAGGACAATGCACAAATAATATGTACCGTAATTATTTTTTTAATACATCAACTGTTTCCCACTGAGGCAGGTGGCCCAAAATTGTAAGAAACACCTAATCATCACTCTATCACTCTTGCCAGAGGGGCACCAATACTACAGTATTGTGCTGTAATTATGGTTGAATATATAATTCTAGTGTGGTACTGGTGTTGCATCAATCCTGTTTTGGGTTATGAATTAAAAAAAATTTTCTTCTTCTTTCAACAAACTGGCCATATCCCACCAAAGCAGGGTAGCCCAAAAAGAAAAACAAAAGTTTCTCATTTTAACATTTGCAACGTATACAGGAGAAGGGGTTACTAGCCCCTTGCTTCTAGCATTTTAGTTACTGTTATTATACATACATACACCAAACCTTCACTGAGTTACATTTTCGTTCCTTTTTCATCAAAGACTGCAAGAAAAGAGCTCTTCAGATCATTAATTCTCCACGCACCAACACCACTCCTAACAAAGTTATAATTCTTCCCAACAGCCAGGTTGCACTGAACGTTTCTAAAGTACTTTCACAAGCTAACACCAGAGTCGCCATCGCTTCTAGCACTTCAATAAAGGATCTGACCAGGACAAAATCAAAGCACCACGAACCAGTCAATGCAGGAGTTTACACTATACCCTGTGGAGGCTGCGACAAGATTTATGTAGGTGAAACAGCAAGAAACCTCGACACCCGCCTCAATGAACACATTTACGCATGTAGGAACGATAACCTGAACAACGCCTGTGTACAACACCAAAATTCCTCCAGTCATCTCATGAAATTCAGGGATGCCCAATTAGTGATCGAAGAAACTAATTTCCGCAGACGCAAGTGCCTCGAGTCAGCACTAATCGCTGTTTCGAATACAATTAACCCCTTGACTGTCGCAACCCCCAATCCTGAGGTGTCTCCTGGTGTCGCAAAAAAAAAAAAAAAAAAACTTATGAAATGATAGAGAATCTTTTCCCGAGTGTAATGACACCAAAGAAATGAAAATTGATGGAAAACTGACGAAATTATGCTCTCGTGAAGTTAGCGACCTCAGCAATATTTACAAATCGGCGATTTCGCCCACTTTGAGCCCTATTTTCAGCTAATTCCATTGTTCCAGTCGACCAAACTCATAGCTATTTCTTTAGAACTCCATTTTTTCTATCAATTGAGTACAAGAAACTGCCCATTTACCGATTTCAACTAACCAATAATGTGGTCAGAAATTTGCAATTTGGCCAATTTCACGAAAATTAAAAAATATGACAATTTCAAAATAAGGTCCAGAATGAACAATGCAGACATTCCTGGTTCTAAAATAACATTTTCTTTGTTCATCAGTCATGTCTCCAGGCCCCTCTGATATTACTCTTGCTTTCTATTTTGGATTTTTATTCAAACAAAAAATATTAGACTTACTATTATGCAGACTACTGTAATACTGTAATAATTGTATAAATAACATCAACCCATTCATGACTGCTTATTAGAATGGCTAGCTGGACATTTATTGGACAATGACATCATTTGTTTACTTTTGAACATTGGCAAAAGTCAAACATTTCCCCTACTTTGAGCTCCATTTCCAGGTTCTTTTTATAGTAAAATCAATCAAAATCACCTCTATTTCTATAATATGTTTTCCATTCTATCAAATGAGACCAAGAAAACGAGAATACAACCATAAATACTATACGACAATAGACCATAAAGTCGGCATTTTAATTAACCCTTTGAGGGTCGACAGGCCCTCTCCGAAACACGTTCTCAGGGTCGGCCAAATTTAAAAAAAAAAAAAAAATTATTTTCTCTTATGAAAAGATAGAGAATCTTTTCCCGATCATAAAGACACCAAAAGTTTGAAATTTGATAGAAAACTTACGAAATTATGCTCTCGCAAAGTTAGCGGTCTCGGCGATGTTTACGCATCGGCGATTTTGCCCACTTTGAGCCCCATTTTCGGCCAATTTCGCTGTACTAGTCGACAAAAAACATGAATATTTTGCTAGAACTCCATTTTTTCTATCGAATGGGTGCAAGAAACCACCCATTTATGAAATTCAACTATCCAGTACAGTGGTCAGAATTTAGCAATTTTGCCAATTTCACACAAATTTCAAAAGCTGCCAATTTCCAAATAGGGTCCAGAATAAACAAGAAAGACATTCCTGGCACTAAAATGACATTTCCTCTAGTCATTAGTCATGTCTCAAGGCCCCTCTTATATTCTTTTGCTTTCCATTTTGAATTTTTATTCTCACAAAAAATATAAGATTTACTGTTATGCAGACTACTGCATTAGTGTAAAAAATGGTATAAATATTATTGGTGCACTTGTGAAAGAATATTAGACTCACCAGTTGACGTGTATTGCACGCTTGGCACGATTTGTTTACTTTTGAAGTTTGGTAAAAATAGAACATTTCTGCTACTTTGAGCTCAATTTCAAGGCACCTTTCATTGTAAAACCAGCCAAAATCATCTCAATTTCTGTAATATGTCTTCCATTCTATAAAATGAGACCAAGAAAACTAGAATACAACAATAAATACCATACGAAAATACACTGCAAAGTCGCTGATTTATTCCAAAAAAATGGTCAAAGTTTTTTTTTCTCATTATGCACTGTGTGCTGCAGGATTTTTTTTAGACTGTGCACACTGACCACATAGACCCATTCTTTCATATGAAGGCCTACCAGCTTTCTCCCACTAGATTTGAGGCCACTAGAATTTATGCGTACTAGTACGTCAAAAACCCCTACGCGTAAGACGTACTAGTACGACGAAAACCCTCAAAGGGTTAAAAAAAAAAACGGTCGGAGTTTTTTTTTTCTCATTATGCACTGCGTGCTCCAGGATTTTTTTTATATGGTGCACACTGACCACACAGACCCATTCTCTCACATGTGCGCCTACCAGCTTTCTCCTGCTTGATTTGAAGCTGCTAGAATTTATGAGTCTATATACGTCAAACATGGTACCTCGTAAGACGTATATATACGGCCGCGACAGTCAAAGGGTTAAACAAAACAAAGGCAGCTTCACCATCTCTGAAGTCTTAGCAAGAATCCTCCTGAAAACAGTAAACCCTGCCATCACATAGTCTCTCCTGTTAATACTACACAAAGCACATTACAGAGAGTGAACACTGAAACAGGCCTTCTCTATCCAGTCTATATTTGTCTAACCTATTTTTATGTTACCCAAGTAATAGCTTTTATATCCTTTTACTCATGTACGAGTTAATTGCTCTACCCTATTGTATTACTACTACAACTTATGTCACTACTACTACTACTACTACCACCACCACTAGTATTGCACCTCACTCTGAGCCTATATATACCGTCTGTGTCCATGTACTGTTTGTAACAGCTTGACAAAGCTTCTGGAGAGCGAAATGTTGCCACAATAAAATGTCACATTAGTTGCACTTGTGTCCTTTTACTTTACACACTATTATTATAATCAAAAAGAAGTGCTAATAGCATTTTAGTTGCCTTTCACGACATGCATGGCTTACGGAGGAAGAATTCTGTTCCACTTTCCCATGGAGAAAAATATAATATTATGCAAACTAAATAATGAGGAATTTGAATACTGTACTTCTCTTAGCTTGACCCAAAGCCAAGTGTAATTTACACTTTTATTTTTTAAGCTCAATGGTCATCTTCTACCAAGGCAGGATGACTTGCTTGGCCTAATTTATACTACAGTGTGGGGCCACCTCAGACTAATAACTCTTGGCGAGCCAAAAGGAATATTGCGTTTGCAAATATCAAAATAAAATTTCTTACCTAAGGTTCACTTGCTGTTTTTCTGCAGGTTTTTTCTTGGTGCTAGAATGTCGTGCAAAACGATCCATCAACTCGCTCACACCAGGGTTTACTTTTCGTGTTGGAGTTTCCTCATCAAGGTCAATGAAATCATCCTCTCTTCCCAAACTAAGTTTTGGTGTTCCTTTAATAATCTTACTCAAGTCAGCATCCCGTAACTTGGAGGCTAACAGGGTCAGTTTTGGTGTATCACTTTTTTCAGCTTCTCCTATGACAAATGCTGTGGAATCCAGGAGTAAATTTTCTGACGCAGGCGGCATAGTGTCTATTTTGTTACAGTCTTTTTCCCTATCATTTATAATAGTATAATCTTCCTCCTTTTCATGTGTTGTTATACTTGTATTACTCTTATTCCCTGCATTTAGCAAATATGTCTTTAACTCAGAAGCAGCATTATCATTTTCAGTAGCAGCACTATCTCCATGGTGGGAACTGTCAGGTGAAGATACACCACTGTGGATTCCTGATTCATTGTTATTGTCCATAGATTTTGTAGCGGGATCTTCTCTGCTGTTCCCAGATTGGTCAATTGTTGAAGGAGATTGATTTTCAAAGGTTTGTTGCTCTGCTACAAGAGAATCTCCATTCAACACCTTAACTGATGATGAACTATCAATAACCTGAGTTATATCTGGGAGTTCATCATCACAGCATCCTGTCAATTTATCCACTGTTTTGTCTAACTCCATTTCCAAGGCTATTCTTTGGCTTGGTAATTCCTTTTGACCGTTAGCCTCATTGCTTGGTGTCCAGTCTATGTCATCAGGATCCTCTTGGTCAGAATCAGACTTATAAAATTCTTCAACTTCTTTCTTCTTCTCTTCCAGTAACCTACCGAAAATTAAATTCTGATTATAAATCAAAAATAAATGCTTTTTAATTATTGCATAACTAAATCACACAACTTCACCAATTATACAGCAGTTTATTTCTTTTAAGTTTCACTACACTAGACATTCTCACGTTATACAGTAAACCCTCCACATAACAGACCTCTATACTATTTCAGACTTCGGAAATATGAAACAAAATCTACTGGGCCAAGCATTTTGGAAACAATGGACAAAGCCTGTTGGTTACAGAACTGTCTGCTAACAACCTTTTAACAAAAATACTTGAGGCAGTGAACCATGATTAAGAATGTGACATTGTGTATATGAATTTCTGCAAGGGTTCTGTGCAAGACATTGATGAAGAAGGTAACTTCACGTGGTATTGGAGAAGTTCTAGTCTGGACAGAGGGACAGCTGACTGACAGGCTTTGTAAAAAATGGGAGAAAACAGAATGGGGAACCATTACAGTGATGTTCCACATAGTCAGTGTTGGGTCTATTGCTCTTAGGAATCTTTTTCTGTTGTTGTTGTTCACAAACTACATAAATTACACTGATGAGGGAATAAATAGAATCCAGGCCATGGGGGCACTGACCCCCAGAACACCCTCCAGGTAGAGATAAATTTGGCAATAGCACAAAAATAGGATGCTAAATAATTTCTGAAAACACCAGGGTACTACAGGATGATTTGGATAGGTTTATGTGGGAAAAAAGTAGCAAACATAATTTAGTGTGGATAAATGTACAGCTCTAATCCTAGGAAACAAAATAACCAGGACACCTATTAGTTTAAAAAATAAAGATACCAAAAAAAAAAAAAAAAAAAAAAGTTCTGGTTGGAAGAAGTCTAAAGCCAAAACAACAATACGTAAGTGCTTGCAACAAAGCTGATAGATTTCTTGGGTGCATATCAAGAACTATAAATAGCAGAGGGCTCCAAAGTTATACAGCCTCTCCTCACTCAGTGACGTACTCGTTTACCAATGCCTCGGCCTTACAACAAACTCTCTGACCAGTATGCATGCCTAAATAATGTAGTATATTAGAGCTGATTTCCTCTATTCTGTTTATTACAATATACAGTACACTACTGTATAAACATTTAAAAACCTACCAGAAATGTTATAAATGGTGCAATGGCGACATTAAAATAACATCAATGATAGCTGATACAAACCCATTACCATTATAGTATGCTCCTCACTTAGCGAAGAATTTGTTTACCGGCGTGGTCTTAGGAATGGAACTCCGTCATTAAGTGAGGAGAGGCTGTATACTATATGACTGGTAAGGCTTCGAATAGGTTATTAACTCAATTCTGTCTCCATATTACAGAGAATATCTGTGCTGGACAACATTCATATGATATTCCTATCATAGCTCCCATAAGACTCAACCTGCAGACCCTCAGGATTAGCCTCAACATAGTTATACTATTTATACAGTTCACTCGGTGAAGAAAAAAACAGTAGTCTTCCTTTCCTCAATGTCCTGCTCAGCCAAGTGGATTGCCATCTCAAGTGCAAACTACAGCCCATCAAAAAAATCGTCAATAAAAACCACGACCAGAGAACTGAATGGGGAGTACTCAATAATTTTTTTCTCAAAGCCTATGTGGAAGAATGCAACATACTAAAAAACATTTTCCTAACTCTCAAGTATCAGTATGCCCACACAACACATAATATGTGCAACACCTACTGTTATACACAAGAATTAGACCATAAACCTGATGTGCTGGAAAGACACCCAACTAGAAAAGAAGAAAAAAAAAAAAAGACAAAATACAATAAAGCTTGGAATCTGTCTAATCTGCACATAAAACACCATTCAGCAGAATCAGGGAGCTTTCGGCTCAGATAAACCCTTAGCACTACAAAAACAGAAACAATTCAGTATAATTCACATGCACACACATTTGGCAGAGTGGACCTCCTACAGTGCTTCCTCTCTCCTCAACACCCACACCTTCATCTCACTTTCCCAACAACTCACCTGCTTGCCTGATTTTATGCTTGCATAAATATGCAAGTTGTTAATCATTTTGTACTGACTGGAAAAAGTCATATTACACAAGTGAAAACATTTAAAGTGAAATATTTCAATAAAAGTGCTGTTTTAGGCAGAATATAGGAGAGCACTGGTTTGGCAATAGCTGTGGATGAGTAAAACAAACTATGAAGTAGCATCACTGAAGCCAGAACACTAGGTAGCTTGAAACCAGATTAAACAGGTACACATAACTAGGAGTGGTTAGGTGTGAGAATGACCTAGGTTGGGCCAGTAGGTCTACTGGGTGCTCCTCTGCTATCATATTCTTGCAATGTTGAAATTTACTAGTATTTTTAAAGAACTGCTACAATAATGAAGTTGCACTCTGCTTATCTGGCAAAGCAACCATTGCTTAATATATTAGGATCACAGACTGCTCAAAAACTACAACATACACATGCTGAGTTTTTCCACCAATTTTTTATTTTTATTACACATTCAAAATATATATTCACATACCAAATAAAGCAGCCTTAAAATTTAGAGTCGACCCTGACTTCACCCTTTCCTCCACATTTACAACCATTTTTTTTTGACACGATAGCTCCTAAAAAATAATTATAGTGGAACCTCAGTATATGACCAACTCCCTACTCAAACGAGGCTCAGCACTCGACCAAACAAATACAACCTGCCAGAACTTCACTGCAAATTATTTTATGTTTCTTTGCATTTTTTTGTATTATCTGTATAAATAAGTCACCATGGGGCCTACGAAGATTAGTGATAACAGCCAACCAAACAGATAATTGGTTGGGAAGAACTTGTTCAATACTCAAATGGAGAGGCACTCGAACAGCCTGCTGGAACGAATTAAGGTCGCATATCAAGGTTCCACTGTATAGTATATATGCAACTGATTTCCGAGCAAGGAACCCCAATTTATAAAATTGAACCTATGGGAAATAACAGCTCCACTTATAACAGCCTGACTGGCGATGGCTTTCACTGAACCAATTAGGTTGAAAGTGTAGGGTCATTTGTATTATAAATCAATTTGAAACTATTTCAAAATGCATCATATCAAGAGAAAAATACTCACCTCAGTGTTTCTATGTTGCGCATACTCATTTTAAGGCTGGTTCCCTGATGCACTTGAGGGACCAAGACTTTCTTCCTCCTGTTAAAAAAAATACACATTTTTTATTTTACACAATCACCATTTCCCATCAAGACAAGGTGATGCACAGATATCACAATTTGACTATATTAAGCTGCAACATCTCCACGTAGCCCCACTGGCAATCTGATAAGGTTGAATATGAACAACAAATCTGCCCTGCAGAGTGAGGACTTCTGTTGCAGCAAATCACATCCTGCACTTAAAGTTGCATACTTTAGATATTGGGACTTCAATGATATTTTGCTGTCACAAAAAAAAAAAAAAAAAAAAAAAAAAAAAAAAAAAAAACTTTAAGTTTCTTTTTCATTAATATAAATTTTTACAAGGCTTGAGATACAAAACATTAAACTGTGAACTGCAATTCATGAATTAACATTTGGGTTGCATAGCCTAGTGTAACTATTTGATTTAGAAAATGCACAGTATTAACAACCAAAGTCCTTCACAGTATCTGATATTGAATTCTGAATGAACTTTTTTCAATCACTTTTACAAAAAAATCACACTATATGGAGAAGCTTAAAAAGAAAGCTGACTGCATGCCCTGTAGAAAAAAATATTTAAGGAAAACACCAAAATGGGAAAGCATTATACACTACTAGATAACATTTCATACATTTGAGAAATCCCATGACTGTCAGTCATCAAACATCATCTTGTTTCCTGACGTAAGTTCTCTACACGAGGTGGATGCCAAATGGTATGTACAATGAATGATTCAACAGGCATTTTTCCCATATCTAATTAAAATGCACTTTAATGCCATTATAACATTCATAAACATAGAAAAGTTGCAAAGAATGATTGACTATAGGCATCACATATATGGTAACATTAAGGGCAAGGAAGACATTAAGGCTTATTAAGCAGCCCTGAAAGCATTCAATGTACAGTATACCTTTGATGAGTTTTGAGTCTTGCTACTTTCAGAGCCCGGCCATGGGCCAGGCTTGTCTGGTGCTAGTGAAACCTCAATTTACTGGACTAACGGGGAAAGAGGGTATCCAGTAATTCTGATTGTCCATTAAATCAGAATTATGATTGTTTTTCCAAGGTTGTAATAAATGACAATTCTGGATTTAATGAACTTTTGCAACTGAAGCCAAAATCAATTTACCCAGCAGACAGTAACAGTAACTGACAAGTCTAGAAATAATGCACCTTGTCCATTAAATCTGAAATCAATTAACTCAACCGACTGTAACAATAAGAGAAAATACTGAATTTAATAGACTTCGTCCGTTGATTCTGAATTTTATCGATTAAATTTGAAATCCGTTCAACTAAGATCCTTTAATTTCATGTTTTACTGTACTGTATTTAAATCATGACAGTAACTATAATGACAATACTTCCTTTCAGCAATCTTAAGGCTAAACATGAAACTATAAAAACTGTATGATTTTTCCATACCTATTAAGAAATTCTTTGAGGGTTCTCTGCTTTGGTTTGTGATATGGCAAGGATATCTGCGATTCTCGGACCATACGCTGCGATTCACTGTGAATCTCTCTCGCCTCCTCTTTTTGCTGTTTCAGAGTTGGAGGACGATGCTTCACCAGCTAAAATACACTTTTCATTATTAACTGTATACCTATTTTATTACTAGCTACTACATACATACTTTACATACATACTTTACATAAATATCTTATTATTAATTGTACAGTCACCCTTGAATAATGCAGGGGTTAGGGGCTTAACTACTAATAGCCTACTGTTGACCAACAGCCTTATTGATAATATAAACAGTCGATAATTACATATTTTGTATATGTATTATATTAATTACAGAACCATTAAGCCAAAAAAAAAATTGGTTAGCCAAATCAGAAAATATGGAAGCCCTCAAATTTGTAGTAGTCACTGTGCTAAATATTACTCAGAAAAACAAATACAATCTTATGTCAAAGCAAACAATACTACAAATACCTTTTTCTTTTTTCCAATGTCGGCTCTTCTATCATCATTACTTTCTTGTGACTTTCCTGGCGACTGGCAGTCCTCAGTATTGTTTGGAGGTTGGTCTTCGTCTGAGAGCTCAGCATCATACAGGTCACTACTGTATTTGTAGCTGGGCTGTAAATATTAACTTCATTCTCAATAAAATCTTTCAAGGTGTTAATTTAATTTTAATTTTACCTTATCAGTTGTCTACCACTAAGATGGGGTGATCTCTAGAAAAAAAGGAAACACACTCACCATCATTCATTCAACAGCTGTCTTGCCAGAAGTGTTCAGATATTACGATTCAAGTGGCACTTCACATCGACATTCCTTCAAGTGCAAGAACTGCACTCTAAGGACTCAGGTCCAGCTAACCGGTTATTCCTTGTGTATAGTGTTTTTCTGAATTCATTCATAAATATTACCTTACACTCAAATAGCAAATTATACCCTAAAACCCACCTGTATTCACTCACTCCAGTGCAACATGCTAACATATGCCTGCTAGATGCTCAAGCTTCTACTACTTACATCCTCCTTTGCTCCATCCTACCTTCCTCTTGACAAACATTAGTAAACCACCACTTGAATACAACAAAGTTTCATTTAGACTCCATGATGAGGCCTCAATAAGGAAGTTCACAGCTGACCTAGAGACTGTTGACTGGCCTACAGAATTCTCCAAGGCCAATGGTATTGACGACTGGACAGACATTTTTCTTAACAAATTACTTAGACTATACAACAAACATTGTCCTATAAAAACGAAACAGATCACAAACAAACGGCTTGGTTGCCCATGGCTAACCAGCACCATTCTGAAATCCATTGATAAGAAACACCAATATGAAAAGCAATATAGATAGGGCTTAATACACAAAGATATTCTTAAACACTATTCATCAGTCCTCACCAAAGTAATAAAGAAAGCCAAACAACTATACTACTCCAGTAGATTCACTGACACAAGAGGAGATATAAAAAAGACCTGGAAAACACTCTCTCAGATTCTAGGGACCCAAAAACTGAAAAAAAACAAGAATATTGCCCTAACTAAACCTAATGAAACACCACTGCATCCCACTGACACAGCTAACAAGATAAACGACTTCTTCTCAACCATAGGTTCTAATCTCGCCAATAAAATCCCACGCACCAATGCCCATGCCGGGGACTACCTAGATGGGAATTTCCCAAATTCCTTCTATCTTGCTCCAACTGAGCCCATGGAAGTCACCGAGATTATAAAGTCACTTAAAAATAACTCAGGGAATCTGTCTCATGTCCCACCATTATTGTACAAGAGAGCGGCCCATGTCCTCTCGCATGCTATCTCATTACTTTTTAACAAGTCACTAGAAACTAGCACCTTCCCGAAACTACTCAAGACGGCAAGGGTTACACCAATACATAAAGGTGGTGACCCTACAGATTTAAACAACTATAGGCCAATATCAAACTTACCATTGCTATGACTTAAGAAATCGTAATGACACGATTGCAAATAAACCATACCCCCGGCCGGGATTGAACCCGCGGTCATAGAGTCTCAAAACTCCAGCCCGTCGCGCTAACCACTAGACCAGCTAGCCACAATAAGATTCATCCAACTAGGTATATTTCTACACCATAGGAAAGTTAGCACAGGCACCTCTGTGACCACAAATGCAAGTTTTTACAGACGAATCTCCAGCTGGAGATTCGTCTGTAAAAACTTGCATTTGTGGTCACAGAGGTGCCTGTGCTAACTTTCCTATGGTGTAGAAATATACCTAGTTGGATGAATCTTATTGTGGCTAGCTGGTCTAGTGGTTAGCGCGACGGGCTGGAGTTTTGAGACTCTATGACCGCGGGTTCAATCCCGGCCGGGGGTATGGTTTACCATTGCTATCCAAAATCTTTGAGAAACTCGTGCACAGGAGACTATATTCATTTATAACGGCACAAAACATACTCAACCCCTGCCAATTTGGATTCAGGAAAAATAAAAGCACTAACGATGCAATCATAAAAATGCTAGATCTGCTTTACACAGCATTGGAAAATAAGGAATATCCACTAGGAATTTTTATTGACCTAAGAAAAGCTTTTGACACAGTAGATCATGGCATCCTACTCCACAAACTTGACCATTATGGTCCTTAGGCAAATAGATAAATTAAAACCTAACAAATCCCCAGGCCCTGATGAACTGTATGCAAGGGTTCTAAAGGAATGTAAAGAGGAGCTTAGCACACCTTTGGCTAATCTTTTCAACATATCACTACAAACTGGCATGGTGCCAGATAAGTGGAAAATGGCAAATGTGATACCTATTTTTAAAACAGGTGACAGGTCCTTAGCTTCGAACTATAGACCAATAAGCCTAACCTCCATAGTGGGAAAATTTATGGAATCAATAATTGCCGAGGCAGTTCGTAGCCACCTTGAAAAGCATAAATTAATCAACGAATCTCAGCATGGTTTTACAAAGGGGCGTTCCTGCCTTACGAATTTATTAACTTTTTTCACTAAGGTATTTGAGGAGGTAGATCATGGTAATGAATATGATATTGTGTATATGGACTTCAGTAAGGCTTTTGACAGGGTCCCACATCAGAGACTATTGAGGAAAATTAAAGCACATGGAATAGGAGGAGAAATTTTTTCCTGGATAGAGGCATGGTTGACAAATAGGCAGCAGAGAGTTTGCATAAATGGGGAGAAATCAGAGTGGGGAAGTGTCACGAGCGGTGTTCCACAGGGGTCAGTGTTGGGCCCCCTGCTGTTCACAATCTACATAAACGACATAGATGAGGGCATAAAGAGCGACATCGGCAAGTTTGCCGATGACACCAAAATAGGCCGTCGAATTCATTCTGACGAGGACATTCGAGCACTCCAGGAAGATTTGAATAGACTGATGCAGTGGTCGGAGAAGTGGCAGATGCAGTTTAATATAGACAAATGCAAAGTTCTAAATGTTGGACAGGACAATAACCATGCCACATATAAACTAAATAATGTAGATCTTAATATTACGGATTGCGAAAAAGATTTAGGAGTTCTGGTTAGCAGTAATCTGAAACAAGACAACAGTGCATAAGTGTTCGCAATAAAGCTAATAGAATCCTTGGCTTCATATCAAGAAGCATAAATAATAGGAGTCCTCAGGTTGTTCTTCAACTCTATACATCCTTGGTTAGGCCTCATTTAGATTATGCTGCACAGTTTTGGTCACCTTATTACAGAATGGATATAAATTCTCTGGAAAATGTACAAAGGAGGATGACAAAGTTGATCCCATGTATCAGAAACCTTCCCTATGAGGATAGACTAAGGGCCCTGAATCTGCACTCTCTAGAAAGACGTAGAATTAGGGGGGATATGATTGAGGTGTATAAATGGAAGACAGGAATAAATAAAGGGGATGTAAATAGTGTGCTGAAAATATCTAGCCTAGACAGGACTCGCAGCAATGGTTTTAAGTTGGAAAAATTCAGATTCAGGAAGGATATAGGAAAGTACTGGTTTGGTAATAGAGTTGTGGATGAGTGGAACAAACTCCCAAGTACCGTTATAGAGGCCAGAACGTTGTGTAGCTTTAAAAATAGGTTGGATAAATACATGAGTGGATGTGGGTGGGTGTGAGTTAGACCTGATAGCTTGTGCTACCAGGTCGGTTGCCATGTTCCTCCCTTAAGTCAATGTGACCTGACCTGACTAGGTCGGGTGCATTGGCTTAAGCCGGTAGGAGACTTGGACCTGCCTCGCATGGGCCAGTAGGCCTTCTGCAGTGTTCCTTCGTTCTTATGTTCTTATGTTCTTATAAGAGGCCATGCGCTTGCATATTTCAAATCTTACCTTACTAATAGGTATCAGTATGTCACCATTATAGACACAGCATCAACAACACAGCCACTTGATACTGGAGTTCCGCAGGGAAGTGTCCTTGGTCCCCTGCTCTTCCTCATATACATCAATGATCTTCTAAACGTATCTCAACACCTGAACCCCATTCTCTTTGCTGACGACACGACTTACTTCATCTCTCACCCTAATCTTGCCACCCTCAACACCATTGTTAATGAGGAGCTGATCAAAATATCGACTTGGATGACAGCCAATAAACTTACGCTTAACACTGACAAAACCTACTACATTATGTTTGGTAGCAGAGCAGGAGATGCGCAAATTAGCATTAAGATCGACAACACTCTAATTGCCAGGCATAATGAGGGCAAATTCCTAGGCCTATACCTCGACAACAACCTGAACTTCAGCACCCATATCCAACACAACCAAAAAAGTATCCAAAACGGTTGGGATCCTCTCCAAGATACGATACTACGTGCCGCAAACTGCCCTTCTCACACTATACCATTCACTTATATATCCATACCTCACCTATGCTATATGTGCTTGGGGTTCAACTGCAGCAACACACCTAAAGCCAATAATAACCCAACAAAAAGCCGCAGTAAGAATAATCACTAAATCCCATCCCTGGCAACACACCCCCCCACTCTTCATAGATCTAAACTTACTCCCTGTTCAGTACATCCACACTTACTACTGTGCAATCTACATCTACAGGACCTTAAATTCCAATATTAACCTTGACCTAAAACGCTTTCTTGATAATTGCAACAGAACCCACAGGCACAATACCAGACACAAACATCTCTATGACATTCCCCGTGTCCGATTAAACCTTTACAAAAATTCAATGTATGTCAAAGGCCCTAAAATCTGGAACACCCTACCTGAAAATTCTAAAACTGCAGACACATTCATCACCTTCAAAACTACCATCAGAAAACATCTTATCTCCCTGATACACCCTGTCAACTAATTACACGAATACCACCTGGTGGTTAACACTTACACTCACTCACCCATTTGACCATAACACAAATATCTATCTCAATCTCAAAATAAATGAATCTTAACTAGTCATAAGTTGGCCTGTGATACTCCAATACTGAAACTATGTATAGTGCCAAAACAAAAGCATTCACATTGCTAAACTCACAAACTAGTATTTAGTCACTTAGCCATAATACCAACTTACCTCATAATTTTGTAATATTTTAAACTTAAGATTTAATTTAAGTCTGCCCGAAATGCCTAACCATGCTAGGTGTTCTAGTGGTACACTCTGTAATTATTATTTTACTACATGTAAACCACACAATAACCAAATTCTGTAAACTCAGCATTGTAATCCTTATAGAGAATAAACTTTGAATTGATTTGAATTGAATCCTGCTAACTCTGCATTGGACCTCCCACAGGCCTATTTCCTTCCATCATAGCATTATGCACTCTTTCTGTTCTCTTGTTATGTTCCGTCCTTTCTAAATGTCCAGCAATTCCATTGTGTAATTCCTATAATAGTTCCATATAGTACCTTACTTGTAACACCTATTTGCACATAAACCAACTTTTTACTGCCACTTTTACAGTATCTAATAGCAAAAATCAAGATTGCATATAACAAGTGCTGTATACATAATTATGGACCTAATTATGACTGGACATTATTATGACTCTAATGCATAAAAATACTGCACCTTTGATGATTGTGGAGTTTGCTGTGAAGGGTCTTTCTTGGGGAACAATGCAGTATCTTCATCACTATCATCTGAATAAGACCTCTGAACAATCCGTTTTTTAATACCCTTAGTGACAATTTCACTCTCATCATCACTGCTTATAGGCAATTTATTAACACTGAGTGTAATTGGCTGACTAGAATCTTCATCCTCTGACAAAACTGCAGGTCGTCGTCTTCCAACGGACAAAGTTTGCTTTATGTTGTCATCATCACTATCATTGTCTGACATGACAATCATAAGCTTGTGAGCATTATCAAGATCTTCTAACACATCTTTATTTTCATTTACTGCACTGGTGCTTTTTATATCTGACTTATCCTCTGCCTCTGACCCACAGGTAACATTGTGAGTTCGAGAAATAAAAATACCTTCATCCTCTGAACTATTAAGAGATTCACATTCTTTTATTTGCTGCAGAGTATCAATAGGCTCTAAATGCTCTCTGATATCAGATTCTGCATCCATATTTACAATGTCAATCACAGGCAGGTGTTTTCCTGAAAAATAAAAAAAAACTTAACATTCAGTAAATGTGTACAATATAGTATAAGAAAATTTTACAAGGCTTACAATTGAATGACACTTTTTAATACATGCCATTAGCATGTAAAGCATGCTAGTGGCACTTGAAAAATAATACAATGTCAAGTAACATTACTGAATTAAAGACGAGTGGGTTTATTAAGCTGGGTGAGATATACAAGTGGGAATGGTTGGGGAAGAGAATGACCTGCATCCCATGAACCAAAAGGCCTAAATTTGTGTGCCTCTACTCTGAAGTTGCCTTACATGAAAGCTTCTCTTTCCATTGCAATGTTAAATAAATTTAAAAAATAAACAATAAAAGTATTATGCAAGAAAATGTAAGTTTGCTAGCAAACTTGCTGACCTAGAAAATGTACAGAGAACCTTCACGGCGCGCATAACGGAGATAAAACACCTCAATTACTGGGAGCGCTTGAGGTTCCTGAACCTGTATTCCCTGGAACGCAGGCGGGAGAGATACATGATTATATACACCTGGAAAATCCTAGAGGGACTAGTACCGAACTTGCACACGAAAATCACTCACTACGAAAGCAAAAGACTTGGCAGACGATGCAACATCCCCCCAATGAAAAGCAGGGGTGTCACTAGCACGTTAAGAGACCATACAATAAGTGTCAGGGGCCCGAGACTGTTCAACTGCCTCCCAGCATACATAAGGGGGATTACCAACAGACCCCTGGCAGTCTTCAAGCTGGCACTGGACAAGCACCTAAAGTCAGTTCCTGATCAGCCGGGCTGTGGCTCGTACGTTGGTTTGCGTGCAGCCAGCAGCAACAGCCTGGTTGATCAGGCTCTGATCCACCAGGAGGCCTGGTCACAGACCGGGCCGCGGGGGCGTTGACCCCCGGAACTCTCTCCAGGTAAACTCCAGGTAATACTGGATATGCTACTGTACATGGCATTTCCCAAAATTGTTACTCATACACGCGAGATTTATTACTACAGCTTTATTACATATACGGGGAGCAGTAAGCCCATACAGCACCTGGAGGAATGAGAGGCACTCAGGTTCAATGCAAAGGAGGGTCAAGGTCCAATTCCTTAGATCAAGAACCCTCACCATGTATTTATTGTTGCAATTTTACTCTTAATCAACAATTTGCTAACCCTTAAAGGAGTTCCCCCTTGATGCCAATGAGGAGCTCTTGATGTGAGGAATTAGAACTATCCTCCCCTTCTTTGGATCGAGGGTGATTGCTTCCCATTCCTTGGGTGTTTTAAGATCTATATGGATTTAGCATCCCCCAATGAATATACATAACATAATAAGAGCAACTTCTTCACAATATGCAACATTCAGGCAATATGAAAGATTTTTAGATTTTGCCGACAAAGCAGCTACTTTATTGCACCCCATTGCCATCCTGTGGATAGTAGTGCCAAAGCATATAGATACACACACAAGGTCTAGGAACTAGGTCCCAAAATGGTTAACATGTGTACATCCATATTTATATCTACAGTTGACCTATATGTTGCAAGAAAATTAAGAAAATTTGCTTAATATGTTTGGTATCTTATTTTCACTAATAAGATATCTTGACATATCACATAGGTTATCATACTAGCTCAATATTCCTTAAAAAGTAGAGAATCAAGCATAAAGTGCTTAAGACAGTGACCATAGAGCTGGTTACACACTTTGCATTTGGCCTGTGTGTCTGACCACCTGCCAGAAGTACTTGTAACCAAACCTAAGCCCGGCTACTACAATATCAGTCTCTTCATACTGCAAGTTGTTCCATTATCATAGAGTGATAGATATCCTCAGGCTTGTTAAGTAAAAAGATACAAATGGAACTAATAAGTAAGTAAGTTTATTCAGGTATACACAAATACAGTTACATAGAATTATCATACATAGCAGCATATGTGTAGAGAACCTAGGATAACCCAAAAAAAGTCGGAGTGACTTATTTCCATTATTTCCATTTTATTGTGGCAACGTTTCACTCTCCAGGAGCTTTGTCAAGTGTCCTTTTACTTAACATACTGTCGGTAATTCTACCAATATTAATACAATCCTCCGGCTTCTATCTGCAGTCCTATGACATCACCTCATTATCTTTTCCCCTAATGATAGACAACACACACACCAAGTTATATCTATATTTTCCTCAGTCCCTTATTTTTTGACTGAGTTATGAACATTATCATGAAGGAATAATCTAATGTATGATGGAGAGGTGAAATGCTCTTGTCTACAGTGATACAGATTATTATAATCAAAGAACACTAAACCTACAAGGGTATAAAATAGGTATGTAATAAAAACTTAAATATACAATATTTCACACCCATTGAGATATATTACTCCAGACAATACTACATCTTAGTGACTGTCTGGTAGTAAGTTTGTACACATAATTAGTTACACAAATTACCATACAAGACGGTAAATTACCACGATAACAAAAAAAAAAGTCAAGTGACTGTTTCCATTAGTCCATTATAATTATGGCCGGAGCGCTAAACCCTAGGATTATGCAGCGTTGTGGGAGGGGGAAGGATGGAAGGTTTTCAGGATACAATTTAGAGAACTGGAGCACAGTTTCCATTCCCTAGATCAAGAGCCCCTCACTCACATCAATGACCTACCTTGAGGCCACTGGTTCATTATAAAAGTGTTACTCTCAGTAATCTATCACTGATAATAATACAAGTTCTTTCCTCATATTAATAATTTATGGTAGATTTAGGACGACAAGATATTTAGTTAAATTTAGCGAGTAAAAAAAAAACAACACGTCCATTTTATCACTTTACCCCAGAATTAAGCATATCACACTTACCAAAAGAAATATACGACTAAGAAATACATTCCGTTTCCTTTTTTTTAATTATAATATGCCAAAATAAACGAATAAGCACTATGTGAAGTTTTGACGATTTGCGCGAAGTTGTTGTAAACAAACTAATAAACTGTCACTTGTCTTCTCTCTTTCTCTTATATTATTAATTAATAATATTACTGCTTTAAAATGATGTATTAAAGATTTTATATAATAATACTTGGTATATAATATATTTAAATCGAATGGCTGTAAGTGTATGTAATATTGGTATCAAATACTGACACTTCTATTTTTACCATGTGTCAACAATTTATTTATTTATTTATGTCTTGCAAACAGTAATTGAATTTAGATTACAATAGGGGTTGCAATGCAAAGAGACCTTATTATGCCTAAGATATAATAATATAAATAATAATTATAATCATAATAAAATAATAAAAAATAATATATAATACTATGTAAAATAATAATAATATTAATAATATACTATCTATTTCTACCAGTACATGTCAGGTATACAGACCAAGCTGCACAGTGACATACTTTACATCAGAAAGCCCTTTTATGCTGAGCATTCAGCAAATTAAGTTCATTTTGTCCGGATGCCACCCACACAGTCAAAAACACCCAGGTACTATTTTACTGAGAGTGAACATAAAACAACCGGTGTAAATAAACACGTCCAATGTTTCTACCCTCGCTGGATCGAACCGATCCCCGTGTTAAGCGACAGCTTAGCGATCAGATTATCCTCTTTTTATAATAAGATCGAATTAAATAATTCAATCGAATGTATGACTACAGTCTACCGTATGGTCATTTGAAAAAAAATTTTTATTGTAATTTGAAGATATAGCTATTTTCATCTCATCAATATTGTAAAAATAAAAACAGCGTTACATCTATCACATTTTACGAAAACAACATTAGCACTCCCGGTGTATTTATTTCCGCTAGGTCATTAAGAAATTTAAATGCAATTTCTATATGAACCTATATTCTTAAATTTTCTGTGTGATTTTCCAACTGAAAACTATGTATATTAGTCCCCGACGAGGAGATCAGTGTTGCTTTTCGGTGAGTCCTCAGCTCCTTGCCTCAGGATGTGACCAGCAAGCACTATGACTACACCTGCTCCCCATGTCACCTTACGTGACCAGGGCAGCAGGTATGAGGAGTCTCACTCCTTGGTATCTCCTGTTAGGCGACCAGGGCAGCAGGTATGAGGAGTCTCACTCCTTGGTATCTCCTGTTAGGTGACCAGGGCAGCAGGTATGAGGAGTCTCACTCCTTGGTATCTCCTGTTAGGTGACCAGGAGCAGCAGGTATGAGGAGTCTCACTCCTTGGTATCTCCTGCCAGGTGAACGGCAGCAGGTATGAGGAGTCTCACTCCTTGTATCTCCTGCTAGATGACAGGGCAGGAGGTATGAGGAGTCTCACTCCTTGGTATCTCCTGCTAGGTGAACGGGCAGCAGGTATGAGGAGTCTCACTCCTTGGTATCTCCTGCTAGATGAACAAGGCAGCAGGTATGAGGAGTCTCACTCCTTGGTATCTCCTGTTTAGGTGAGCAGGGCAGCAGGTATGAGGAGTCTCACTCCTTGGTATCTCCTGCTAGATGAACAGGGCAGCAGGTATGAGGAGTCTCACTCCTTGGTATCTCCTGCTAGGTGAACGGGCAGCAGGTATGAGGAGTCTCACTCCTTGGTATCTCCTGTAGATGAACAGGGCAGCAGGTATGAGAGTCTCACTCCTTGGTATCTCCAGTTAGGTGAACAGGGGCAGCAGGTATGAGGAGTCTCACTCCTTGGTATCTCCTGCTAGGTGAACAGGGCAGCAGGTATGAGGAGTCTCACTCCTTGGTATCTCCTGCTAGATGAACAGGGCAGCAGGTATGAGGAGTCTCACTCCTTGGTATCTCCAGTTAGGTGAACAGGGGCAGCAGGTATGAGGAGTCTCACTCCTTGGTATCTCCTGCTAGGTGAACAGGGGCAGCAGGTATGAGGAGTCTCACTCCTTGGTATCTCCTGTTAGGTGACCAGGGGCAGCAGGTATGAGGAGTCTCACTCCTTGGTATCTCCTGCTAGATGAACAGGGCAGCAGGTATGAGGAGTCTCACTCCTTGGTATCTCCAGTTAGGTGAACAGG